ACATTCTGTAAAACAGCTCTGACGGATGTAAGTAATGGCGGTGTGGATCTGTTGCCTGTAGAAAGACTTCTCGACCTTGAGTATGCGGATGATATTGTCTTACTGCGCTATAATGCCTGAGTCATGCGATCCACAATTAATCAGTTGGCAATCAGTGTCCGTAGGTATGGTATGTGATTTGCACCTTCGAAGTGCAAAGTACTTCTACAAGACTGGCAGGATTCTAGTCCTGTACTCACCTTGGATGATGAGCAGATAGAAGTAGTTGAGAAGTTCGTGTATCTAGGTAGCTACATAAGTGCTGATGGTGACCTGACTGATGAGATCAATGCACGTATAGTGAAAACCAGAGCGGCTTATGCCAATCTGGGCCATCTTTGGCACCTTCGTGATGTCAGTCTGGTTGTAAAAGGTCGGATCTACAACGCGTCGGTGAGAGCAGTTTTGCTCTATGCTTGTGAAATCTGGCCTCTCCGTGTAGAGGATGTTAGACGACTCTCTGTGTTCGATCATCGCTGTCTCCGAAGTATTGCTGACATCCAGTGTCAACACCATGTTAGTAATGCGGAGCTTCGGCATCGTGTGTTCGGGTGCAGAGACGATAATGCGATTGGTTTCACCATCTTGAAACACCGACTTTGGTGTCTTGGACATGCTCTACGAATGTGGTCCCAGAGAATTCCACGTCATGCATTATTTGCCGACTCTGGGACTGGTTGGAAAAAGCGGAGAGGTGGTCAGTGTATGACATGGTGTTGTGGTATGAAAGAAAGCTGCGAAGGGCTGGCTTCTGTTGGTTCTTCACGACTCCCTGACTGGGGTTCTAGAGATGGTGCAACAGTGGATAGAGACGTTATCAGATATGGCTCAGAATAGAAGCCAGTGGCGATCCTGATGTAACTTCAATTTACTTTCTCCATAAAAAAGGATTTCACGTTTTTAAGTAGAAGAATTCTCTGTGGCCGTACTTCTGCTAATTGAACTGTCTCTCTCATTATTATTATTTCACTATCATACACTAATTTCTGTTCATTGCTGTACTTCTTTTTTCTTATACGGTAATGAAATAAAAGTAATAATAATAATAATAATAATAATAATAATAATAATAATAATAATTGATGTCCTACTTTCTAGAAGGATAGACGTTTCCATAAAACGAAATATATTTAGAAAGAATACATGGACAAATCAGAATACCCATTTCCAAAGCTTCACGCCTCTTCAATATAAAATAAATTTGATTAAATGTCTCAGCCAAAGAATCAAGCTATTAGGTTCTGAGGACAGTATGGATAGTGAAATAGATATGCTAAAGAACACATTACGAAATAATGGCTATCCAAATGATTTCGTTTAAGAATTCCTAGTAGAAGGTATTAAAAAAAGAGGAACTTTTGACACAGGCAGTAAAAAAACTATATGTCTGGGACTGGACTTTAAAGGGGACATAGCGGGTGATATTTTAACACGTCGACTTAAAAGATCTATTGAAAGGGCGTTTCACGCCGCCAAAATACATATAATTTCCTTAACTAAACAAGTACTCATAGTGTAGTGAACAAGAACACGGGTGGGGACAATCGAATGTATTTAGCACGAAAATTACAGACTATCTCAACGAAATCTGAATACCATAAAGTCAATCGTCAATTTGCAAATTATCAATACATCATATCAAACTGTACTGTTCAAGCTGCAAACACTAATCCATTGTCTCCCATTCCATTGTTCATAAGTTTTCTTACAAATTCCATTATGTTCTTGCTCCACCTTTCTTGGTCTTCGCCATCTTTTGCTGCCGAGCATTACGTTCTTTTAACGCACGTTATATACTACTTATGTCAATATAAGTAGCTCACACCACAATAAAACTAATCAAAGATAGGTTATCGAAGATGGACTCCTCCATGTGTGTATACCAATCTAACTGCTCTTGTGGAACTAGTTATATAGGGCGTACTCAGAGGGAGAAGAACAGATAACTGGTGGTAAAACTCATCCTTGATTGCATCCGGGATGCGATCTGTCGAAGCATAGGCGGAGGTGACGAAAAGATGTTGTTTCTCACACCGACTTCTTACTTCTAATCAAACAGCACGTAACTGACTGTTAATGGGGGCCCGATCGATTAGTTCTGCCTCAGCTCTAGCGCTTAGTGCGACACAAACGCCAGCAAGACCAGACGTGGTTACCACAGGGTCCCCGGATAAACGCACATAAAACACGCCTATCGAAGCGACAGACGAAGAGCAAATTTGTAGTACTTCGCTAGAGTCTTGAATACGGGTTTCGGATAGACAACAGACGTCGATATTAAGACTTTCCAAAGGCATAGCCAGCCCTATCTGTTGTCCAACCTGCATAAGTGTGCAAACGTTGAAGGAAGCCAGTTTGAATGGTGCACGTGGTTTCAGAAAAACTGCTTCAGTAATCATATTCAGTGGTAACATACAATTTTCAACCGGACACTGACTCGAGAACGTTTAGATACAGTCGAATTTCCACCAAAGACGAGCCGCTGTATAAGTATAAAAGAGGGTGAATAATGTGGTAAATAATAATAATTTGATTGTTATTCGAAGCGATAAAAGTAGTTTCCATAGATATAGAGAGTTCATCATTTGCGTGTGGGCTGAGATACTGTCCGGGTGCCCAGACCGAAGCAGGTGGTTATCTTAGGGGGTCACACCCCTAGCCTTTGACCTAAAGGTCGAACCCACAAGGCAGTGGAGCATCGTAAGGAGATGCAGTCCCATGGTAGCCGGTGACCAACGACTGGTTCATACGCCATTTATTCCCGCAGGATATTGGAGCCCATGTGCACCATTGGTTTGGGATCCGGTTAAAGCGCCGGACATTCGCTTTTCGTCATTCATTTTCGTAAGCAACACCCCCGCCACGAGAAGGCAATGAGTAAGACTTCCCTGGCAAAGGCTCTATACACGTGGCCGTGTGAGAGTATTTCGAGAGGGAGAGCGGACTCTCCCCACTCTCGGCCGTAACACGGCATTTGTGCGTTACATATTATATTCACACAACAACATTATTATTATTACTATTATGATTATTATCTCAATTGACAAGATGAAATTCTACTATGCATTTTATTCACACAATTTTTTTGCATTTTCATTTTGGCCATAATACTATTCTACTGATTGTGACTGGACACTCCACTCCAAATCATTCTGAACTTTTTTAAATAACCTTTTTAATTTGCAAATAACACAATTTCGAAGTATATACGTCGCAACAGATGCAAACGTTCACCATTTTTAACACAACATTGTGAAATTCATTAATACATGCCTTATTTTGGCATTTGTAAATTATCATAATTATAGACTTATAACTGTAGAGCCTGATGATGAAGTTATTGAAACCAATTGTTCGCTCAATACACAAGAAGTCTTCATTTGTTAAGAAAAACAGACTGATTGTGTTTATAGTCGAAAGTATTGTGTTGAACCAAAAAGGATGAAGATATTGTTAGTACATGTCATTGCATTTCCGGTAGATTGGTTTAAAATCGCTGCTTTTATCAGTTCTAATTGTTTTACTTGCAATATTTGCATTTATTAGGGTAATATTAGGTGGAGAACGTTTGGACGAATGATCAATGGAGAATACAATGATGTCTGTTCAAACTAACCAAAGCACTTATGAAGCTATAAACGGAGATAAGAAATCAAAGAGAACCCAGCAGATAACACCGGTCTGAAGGATACAACTGCTATTAGCTCCTGTCAAAATAGTCGGACCAATGAGGCCCATGAGTATCGTAAAACGTAAACAGTTACTGCAAAAGAATGTTGATTTTTTAAAATAGAAAACCTGAATATGATAAGTAGAGTTCAACAAACAAAAGCATTACGATCGTAATAATATTTTGGAACACCGCACAAGGAGAGTAAGGAAATTTTAGCACCATGAAATTTTGTTTTTGAAAATACAGTACACAGAAATCATACAATAAAACAATTCAAACATTTTCATGGTAAATAAGAGTTATTCAAAAGATATCCTCAAATAGCGTAATGGCATTTATGAGCAATGCAGTTTTTCATAATTATTTGAAGCGGAAAATATATTGCTTTGAATTCGTCTAAAACAAGGTGATGTATATAGTTTCTACCTACCTACCAATTGTTCGCTCAATAAATTATACACAAGAAGTCTTCATTTGTTAAGAAAAACAGACTGATTGTGTTTATAGTCGAAAGTATTGTGTTGAACCAAAAAGGATGAAGATATTGTTGGGGGAAGAAGTCTGCTAGCAGTCTGCTATATCCAGATTAAGACCAAGGCATATCCTGATAATTGTCGCGAACGGTTTAATAAAAGCACGAGTAACATTGACTGCAACATTCGCAGATGTTACTGAAGCTTTGACCGTTAAGTGGTATGACTATTTTAGGGATATATGCGTAGTAACAATGTTAAGCTTACACACCTGGAGTGCATACAAATAATATTGAAGCTTAGTGGTCGAAGCTGAAATAGTTTTTGTGACCTTATTATGGCTCTAGAGGCCGACTATTATGGAGCCTACCGTACGCATTACTATTTTAGAACCTCTGAACCTTGACAAGTTTTTGAACTCTGTTAAAAAAAGTGTATCCATTTTAATTCTTTAGTTTTGTTTAATATATATTTAATCTGTTTCCTGATTGTCTAATATTTCTCAAGGTCACTTTAGTTTCATTCAAGGGTCGCCCATAAAGTATAGTCTCGCCGTCACACCTGACACAGGTTGTGCGATTAATAGACACAATGATGTGTTAAATCAGATAAAAACATAATTGTTAAATTATTTAAATGGCAGGAACAGGTAGCCCAGATATTCGTGCAGGCCGCTAGTTAAGTTAGTGAAGAAGGTAAGCCTAGTTCTCCTATCATTAAATGTCACCAATAAGTTTATCAGATTATGGTAGATTGTTATAGTCCTGTGCAATGCAGTTCTTATTTGATTAATTAAGTTTTCGTTTTTCGTACAGCACAACTGTGGGTTTAGAAGAATTTTGGTCTGAAAAAGTTCCTTACACGCCCGAATCACGAACTGAAACACATGAATATATGCAACAAAAAGAAAAGTCAAGACAAGAGACAAAAAACTCAAGGTACCTAATTCACATTATAGCATGTAATGCTTAATTTATGAAATAGGAATCCTATTGAGATTGTTGTCCATATATATGCTAAATTAGATTAACGTTTACAAGTATAACACTTTGACGAGAAGTCAATATGGAGTAAAGGATTACCGATTTTGAGAGTTAAAACTCATATTTTTAAAATATATCGATGTGCTTTTTTATTTATAATCCAGGTTTCCATACACATTTTCCTGCTTGAACATCTGCATTAGTTAATTGGGAAAAAAACAAAGAGTACAAGCAAAATGTCAGGAGGGCGCGGTAACAAAGGTAATATGTGTATGGGGACCAAATAAAGTTTTCGTAGGAGCAAAACTGTTAGTAATATCAATTGCGGATGATGATTGAATGGGTGGCACTTCATTTGAAAATAACAGGCTTTTCTCCTGAATAAATAACAGCCATATCCAACTACAATGTTGATTTTTATTCTTATTATAATTCAAAGGTTATATTTTGAAGATGGATACGCTGGGTATCATGACGTTTCTACCGATCATAACTACCTTTTGTAATTGCATTTTACGCAAAGGCTTTACGCAATAGCAGATTCTGGAAAGTCTCCAGATTTCATTTTACTCCTGTGTAGATTCTGATGGCTCCTTAGAAAGCCAATTACAAACTTTTAGTGCTCGATTTCTTATGCATTATATTTATCTTAAGATCCTTTAAAATCGAAACCTTTCTGTTGCGCGCATCTCAGAGTCACAAACAGACCATGGAGAGCCTTAGAATGTGTAATAGATTAGATAACGAATAAAGTTGTTTCATTTCTAAGGCACTTATAAATTATTTATCTCTGGTAAATTCATATTTGAGTTTTAGGTTGGAATTGCTAAAATTCTAAAATATCATTAGAAGTTACTGGTGAATTTTAGAAAAACTATATGGAAGTTTAGGTTACACCACTGTTCACCTATAGTTCAGACAATATTGAGTTTCGTCAATGAAAGTGAAAATAACAGCTGGTCGATACTTCCCGCTGTTATCATCCTTGATTTTCAAAGTGACTCATGCTGCTGTTTTATTTAAGAAACTAGATTAGTTCTACTTGATTGAGTTTGGTATCAATCAAATGCAACATCTGGCTCTTGGATATGTTTATTGTTCGAAGATAAGGTATATTGATGAGCTGCATACGTGCGTTCAGTTTGTGTATAAAAGTTCAATGCATTCAAGTAAATTATATCACAACCAATACCATCAACAGCTTTGAAGCTCTTGAACTTTTTCATAAAAGCCTTTAATCTGGTATGCTTCATTAAAAGGCAGTTATCAAAATTTACCCCCAAATAATCTTTAATAATGTTGATCGCCTCAAATAGCTTTAGGGCGTTTTTTTTTGTATCTTTTCGGTTATGAAGTAAGATAGGTTAAAGTTTTAAGATAGTTGAAGAAATAAACTTACATGATATACACATATAAAGTTTTACGTAATAAAATCTTCTCAGGATAGAACCGCGAGTAATCACAAAATATTTTGCCGAAGACGGTAGACCATACAATATCAACACAGCTAAGTACGTTTGTATGATTTTCTTCTTTATTGTATTTTGTTCGCTATTTGTCTAGTCCAAGCAAAATCGCTTACTGATTTATTTATGAACACCACATGTTGAAATATGTTCCACCTGAAGAACTGTCTTTTCTTGGTTTTCGTTATATTCAAAATGTCAAGTTCAATATCAATCAAACAGATAGACCGAAAATTTGAACATATGTGATGACGAATCCTGGTCTGATTGTTTACTGAACCTTATACTGTACTAAACTGATACTTTGGGAAATACTTAGAGTATGCATATTATCGATAGTGTGAACATAAAAAAGACTAGCACTTCTTTGCGGTAACTCATTAACTATCCATACTTTTCTTTAACACAAGTTATCGTGTAGATCGATGCACAGACAGACATCATAAACATACATCTTGGCACAGGTATGCGTTGTCCCAAGTTAATATCCTTGATTCATACGATGAGATGAAAATAGCAAGCGAGATCAAAATAATGTATTAGCGATGATAAAACATACGAGAACTAGGATTTACATTTTTTTCTAGAAAGACAAAACTACTCTGTAAAAGATAATTTTTTGAGTCTTTAAATTAAGTATATTGCATCAATAAATAATAAAACAGCTTCCTCAGTAGTTAGTTGAAATATGATATAGATGAGTTCAGGGTTGATCGGGAGTAAATGATTACTCTGTGAAGCATAATTGTGAATATCATATGTTGGTGGTTGAAAGTTTAAACCTTAATCTTCATAAACATGAAGAATTCAGTAAATTCTAGTTGTTATTATGTTTACTATGTATCCAGATGTTTCTCTGTGTTCAGGTTCCCGATCAATATTTTCATAATCTCATCCGTTGTCATTATTAGTGTTTGAGAGTATTACTAACGTATATTTTTGATAACAGGACTTTTCGGAGACCCAACTCATAAAAGCCTAATGGTAACTAAGGTGTCATTTTGTTTAGAATTCTCTTTAACGGTACAACAATGATAAGGCTTTAAATTAGTGCTGCTAAGTTAATTTGAAATCTAACGAGATGTAGGGTTGAATGAATATATGTAAATAATTCGTCTTGTGCTGGTTTTTCTAAACTTATCACATCTGTTGGACTTGAATCTTCATAGTGGTAAGAAATTTCACGGCTATAAATCAAAAGAACACACACTGTCTTATTCGGAATGCGTCAGACGTTACACTGAATAGCTGTAGCAAATAAACTATCGAATAACCATAGAAAATTACAGTGAAATATATCTCTAATTTTGTCCCAATGAAGTCCACCTCAAAATACAGTTTTATACATACTTTAGTATTCATATTGGTAATTTGATTTTATCGCGTCAATGTAGATTGACAGCTTAGGCTAATGCATACTTTTGTCAGCCCCAACTTTGATTATGACTGACTAATAATACTGTTGTTTGGATAGCAACAAGTTCAAATGCAACGGTGATTTGGAATTAAGTTTGTCGGTTAAGTAATTTCATTTTTTTCAGACAGTCGTCATAAATTAATGTAGCAAATGTAGTTTATGACATGCAATCTGTTAGTTTCTATGACAATTATAAGCTCATTTGATTGAAGTTTTGGAACTTTATTGGCTTCAGTTGCGTGAATGTCATTCGTGAACTAATTGACACTAAATCTGACAAATAGGGTAGTTTTATGCAATAATCAAGGTGCGATATATCCAAGTGCAGTATATTGATAAAGTTTAAAATACTATAAATCCGTATAAATTATTCGTTGAAAATGGTTTCTGTGAACTAAATTATGTCGTGTTTTTTTCGATTGCGTTTAATAATTCGTCTGTACCCAGAAAACTACAAAATATGGACTTGTTTTACAAATAATTAGCGCTCATCTTGCAAAAACAGTTTCGAGAATAAAAACATTGATTGGAATATGTGCGAAGTACGCATTTGTTACGCATTGAATGTGATTTCCAGAAGACAAACCGTCACGTGCACTCTCTAAATATTACAATTTTTTGGTATTCGGGTTGTTACAACGAATGTGTGGAACGAATGAATTCATTTTGCTCTTCTAGAACAACTGTTCTTGATGGATTAAGCACCTCATAGTGGGGACAAATACGATCAGGTCTTTTCATAAATCACCAGTTGTAATTATTTACGATCGTGTTTAGGAGTGTAAACTGTTGACACACTAGTAAAATAAGTGTCAATTTGATAAATGCATGTGGTGTAGTTTACTAGAATAAGATAGATGCAGAGACGATCAGTGTATCCAGTAGTCACTCCCACTAATTGGACAGATTAACTAATAGATATGGCGTTTGACGTGATTATCACTATGAAAGCTTGATTAAGTGTAAATTCACACATTTTGTAAGTGAAATAAATTGGACATCAAAGGGCATTATTTCTTCGCAATCCTTATAAGATATTGATATGTAATTCTTCATTTTGACCGAAGTTAGCAAGCTGTGACCAACGTAATGTTTAACGATTCAGATAGTTAGTTACCTATGAACTTACAATCCTCAAATCATTAATATGAACAAGGTGTCCCGAATCAGGGATTTAACTTAATGAAATTTCGCTGCCTGATAAATAGCTTTTATGACTGCATTCCATAATCAAACTGTCTAATCTTTTAGGATAGAGTTCAACCTCAAGGAAGATATATTAGACGATCACGATGTTTACATACTCGATGTTGCTGTATATAAGTGAGTCATTCATGCATAACAACTTTTATTTTTGTGTGAGTGATGATCTTAACGTGAATCATTCCATTTGATGCTTTCTCATCTGTTTTCTCTCATTTTTAATCATACAAAGAAAAACAATTCTCAGAGCACAAGTTGTACGCACATCAGTATACTAAACATTAACTTCATTTTAATCTTTACAGATTTTATTATTTGTACTTTCGGAAGGTGGATATGCTCTATCAGAACTAAACATCGGTGATCATTTCTATAAAACTTTACAAAGTATCAATTATTTAGGTGACTAGATTCAATTTACATTACAGTAATGTACATTAATAATAATGTGTAAGTAAACTGTTAAGAATATTCTTTATCTCAGTAATAATTTTTTCCAAACCTAGCCATCAGAAAGGAAGAATGCTACGATCAGTAAAAACTGGATAGAAAGCTAAATAAGCCCATTTATTCATCAAAAAGCGTGATGTTTCAGTGAAGAAAATTTTCTTTTCGAGATATAATTTTCTAAAGCTGCACAATTGTATTTTTGGGTAGTTTTTACATATATTAGTCTATATTAAAACAGGAGAGTGCTACAAAATTATTAAAGATAGTCAAACTCATTCGAGTGTCGAATGTAAAAGTCTATGAAAATGAAGTAGTGTTGCATAAATATAGTCATGACTGTCAGAAGATTTCAGGCATTGAATATAATAATTTGTAAATAGAAGGGTGTTATTCCAATGTAATCAGTATTGCATCTTTGACTTTTTGTAACGAACTTCTATTATTATTGAACACTACTACTTATAAAAATTGCTCAAAAATACGATTACACAGATTCAGAAAATGGTATCGTCGTGAATAAATTCTTCACTGAAGCGTTTTCATTGTTTAAAATCCGATAATTACTTCAAACACTCAGGGATTATAAACAAATCTATGTGGTCAAGATAGGTACATGGTGTTCATTCATCATTAATTGTTATCGCAGTTTCAGCTGTTTTTTGCTCCAAATCTTTCTATGATCTGAGAGATTTAAAAACTAAACTCTGATTGCAAAACGAGCAACAATGTAAATATCAAATGTATGTATTCTATGAGGAGAGTTTCTGGAAACTATTTTGTAAGCTTTTGACAAAATCGGGTTGGAATAGGAATTTTTTGAGGGATTGCTTTCCAGTATTCACTCGTTTTTATACTACATATATATCGTTGTAAAACATAGATCTCATGTTGAGATTTGCTCTGAATATTCATTTAATAAGTATTCGGAAATTTTATTAGTTCTTTATTGAACAGTGTTCTCAATTTTTTTTTTATTTACTAAGTTTGAATTATACTTTCTGTTAAGATACAACCTGTTTATCATTATGTCGTGAGAAATTACCCGAATTTACTCTGATGGTACATAAATATTATTGTTGGGATCTTATTAAATTTTAATGTCTTTTTCCTACTCAAAATACTTTTTTCATAATAGGCATATGGATACAGCTTTGATAAAATGCGACATACAAGTCAATTACGTTCGAGTAACACTTAAAGGAAAGGTAAGATAATCATGAAAACTTATAAACAACAGACGAGTAGGTTCGTTTTTACTAAGTCGTCTGGGCCTGGTGATTCGGGGTTCATTATTGCTCATTTAAATATCTTAAAATAAAGAATGTTGCAAATTATCAGGCTGTTATGGTTAAATTTGAGACATATTCTTGAGGATATTTCTGGTAATCGAACTCCATTAGTTCACATGGCTCAAGTTAAAAACGATTCCGTTAATTTCCAGAAACCTTAACCCAGTGTTGCTAGAAACACAGTAGACAATGTTTTTGGCATTTAATGCTTAATGGCGTTAAATCCAGACATAAATACCTTAGTCTTCGAATGATAAGATAGGAAAATGAGATGACAGTGGTACATACCTTTACCTTGTCTTGTGGATCAACTAATTTCTAAACGGAATCTAACAGAGTTTACTTCGAAACGTTTTTGTAGACATCATAGCAAATTGCTCTAAAGTTAATTTGAAAAGACCACAAAGTTATTAAAGTGATGATAGTATGATTAGAGGACAATTCTAACGATATTCTTCAGTGTACCAATAAACATGGTGTATCGCTCAACCTATATTTGATAATTGGGAGCAATGAGTAGCTAGTTAGGATACTTTAAATGGTCGTACATAAAATATAAACTGTATCTTGAATAGGTTCATGATTGACCTTTTCACTAAGCTAAGTATTTTCAGTTGCAAGGGTGAAGAATTATTCTTCAGTGTTGGACACATATAACCTGAAATTCATGTCCAAGATTTCTTGTATCTTTTCTTTATCATAGTGCAGTAGGTCGTTTCGCTACTATGTATGCACAATATATCCTGCCGAGGGAAAGATCAAATTGGTCCAAACAAGGGTCAATTTATTTTCATTAATCCCATATTGTAATTCAGTCGTCTAATTATATATGTACATACCCATATATGTGATTATCTGCACGTCTGTTACTTATTCTCTTATTGGCTCTAAATAGTCAATCATTAATTCACTAATCATGTACACGTATTAAGTGATATAAAAAACCACACTCTTCAGATTCTGTTCCCATATCTGGTCTTATTGCTAACATGCTATCTGTTGAGTTAATTCACTCCTGATAAAGATCGATGCCAACTCACCTCGTATTTCCTTCTAGATTTCTCAAGTGGAACGACAATACTCTGAGAATGGGTTTGGGATGGTTAGCTATATTTAAAGTCAGTGAAATAGTAACTTAGCCATACAAAGTTTAATATTGAACAGTAAACCAAGGTTATTACATATGATGCCTTCGGAATATATTCTTCTGGGAAATCGTAAGATTGAAGCGAATCTTTTTCTTGTTATACAAACACAACTTACCATGTTATTGCTATAATATAAAGCATTTATTCGACCTGTTTTAAAGCTATTCAGTTAAATGAAAAAGGTCGTTAGTCTATATGGCGTAAATCGATTACAAAATACTCTATTTTGTTGATTTACATGTTCACAACAATGCATATTTTGCGTTATTTTTCTAGGTTTTCCAACTAGCTTTACCAGATGAAGTTCAAGCCGATGCTTCACATGTTAAGCGTTCTTTAACGACAGGACATTTGCTGATTACTATGCCAAAGGTATAAAGTCGTTATCAAGTTAATCAGATGTTTATCACAATCCTAAATTCACAAGCTTTAAACGATGTACTTTGCCCTTAACCTGGCCATTTTTCGGATTATTAATTTGGATATATAATTGTAGAACCTGAAGAGAGTTTATCGAAAAGAATATTCTTCGTTGAAATACTAGTCTTTTACCTGTTGAAATTGAAGCTAGACCACCATGGAAAACCTGGAAGCACTGGACGGCCGTTTCGTCCTAGTATGGGACTCCTCAGCAGTTCCATACTACGTACCACTTCGTGAGGCTTTCAACTGCGAATCCCGGCAGTTTAGAGGCATGTAAAGACTTCGATGTTGTGTTACGCGATAAAATTCTATTATATGGTGATAGACTTTATGTGATAATGTTTAATAATCGATCACAGCTTTGAACATGCTTCACTATATGTACTTGATCATATTACTATTCATTACTCTTTTTAGTTTTATTCTTATGTCTAAATTCTAGCTCCTGTTGGTATTCTGTGGTTTCACTTGTGTGATCTTTATCTTAGTGGGCTGGAGTTAAGTATATGCATTCTTGATGATACAGATATATTTGGTTTCTAATTTGACACACATCATTCTCGCAATTCTGGAAACTTAGGAATCTAACAGTTGCTGACATACTTTGCCACTGCAAACTGCCTAAACTGTGTACAATAATATCGATATTCAGAAACTAATTAATATTTTCAAATGTCATTATTCTTCTAGAATAAGTAGACAATACTACGTTGATGTGTTGTTTGAACGATAAAACAACATATAAGTCTGTCCGCGAATAACAATTTCGAAAGGCACATCACGGTAATAAAAATTTTCAATATAAGGAACCTGGTCAAATTTTGACCAGCAAAAATATCTGATGCGTCTATATGTTTACTGAACTTCTCAGTCATATTTCTCTGCATTCCATGAATCAAATGTGTTCATTAGTTTGTGAGGGTGACAATCTTCATATAAACTCATGAGAAATCTTTTAAAAGTGAGTGCCTTAACTGTAAGAATTCCCAATTTTATAACAATATTGGAAATAGGTCGATATCCATCGATGAAGATTGATTTACCACTTTTAACACAGAATGTAGGCTGTTTATTTATTTTTAACCAATAGCTGTAAATTATCAATAGTCAAGTATGTTAATAATAATTTCACTAAATTTATACACAGGCATCTCAAGAAATCAGAATATTGGCAAATAGTGAACATAAAAGGTTTCACGAAAAAACGAACAAAACGTAGGTTGTACACGTAAAATGTTTTTGTAATTATCCCACGTTTTTGATAAATTTGCCTAATTTCAATTGTTGCGTTTGGCTTCCATTCGCTTTACATTCACTCGCATAGGTGATAAATTTAGATGTCTTTTCAAACCTGAATTCTTTTAAATCTAGAAATAATTGTATACAATGATTGTTTTTGTTGTAGTATTTCTATTATTGTTGCAATCTCTTCTCCGTCTAAAAATTTGTCACTATTTTTGCCTTGTTGAACTTTCAGAAATCATATTTTTGGTCAGGATTTTAATAAGCCAAACACTACTTTTAGTGAACTCTCTGGAAACAATTCATCAAAATGTAAGGAATCGTTTCTTCACATCAATAAACAATCGACGACCACAAGAATGTACAACGAATATATTGAAGACTGTTCAGACGTTCCACCGCTTATTTGATTCGTGGGATTTACAAATAAACCGTTTATATTTTGGATTGTTAATTTTGATTTATGAATGTGAACAAACTTTAGTTTGAATATTTATTTAGAAAGACACTGATTTATTTTGTTTTCCTCACGCTTTGCATTTACAAAATACTACATGGTACTTAACCTCACTTTCAAGAAATGAGCTTCTGTTTGAACTAAAGAGAAAGTGCATTGAGTTTTCAAAGGGAAAAGAATCTGAAATATCTCTTTTCTATTGATCCGAATAAACCTTGAGATGTTATTGCAATATTTCCTACTCGTATAAGTTAGTCTCACAGTTACTAGAAACAGATGTAAATCTAGTCAAGCCTTGGGAAATTTTGGTTTGTGTATTTATTGATATACCGAGTACCTACGAAATTTTATAAGAATGCAGTAACGATAGTGTGGCAAAGAAGGTATACGTAATTGCTAATCATAATAAATTATGCAAACGATAAATATTTTAAGAAATCAAAATTAACCTATTTGTGCATGCATTATGTGGCAAATTAATAATTTCGAAAATTCAGTTTGATGTAAAGTGGAGATTACGCAGATCGCACATTAGCTCAATACATAGAGAAATAATATATACAAACAATACAACAGTAAGTGGAAAAATCTATAAAAACAATTTCTAGTGTTTTAAAAATTGAACTTCATCCTGTGCGCATAAACACGGAAATAGCAAACAAATGAAATATACCCACTTAAAATGCTAAGGTTTTAGAAAGAAAACATTAAAAAATTATGACGTACAAGTGAAAATTTCGTTATTGGTAAAAAGTAGTAAGTAAGAAACCGGTGATTTCGCTTTCACGAATAAATCTGTTTTGGATAGAAACAATTTGATGGTTGTTAAAATGGACAACCGATTTGTTTTCACGTACATGTGCTGAATACTTACATCCGAGTGACTAGACTGTTGAAAGAAGGTAAAACATGTGAACGATTATTTGGACAACCAAGACTGACATCACCTTCATTCTTTATATTTTCGATTGTGTGATCTTCAGTGGACGAAATGTCACTAAATAACTCCCCATTTAGTTGTCTCGAATCGCAAAGTACATCTGAATTACCAGTTTCAGGTGAGGCTTGTATAAAGATTAGAAAAAGTAAAACAATATATAAAAGTGTAAGATACCTCAACGTGACAATATATATATATATATATATATATATATATATATATATATATATATATAACATTAGGCGGCTAGTGAAGTAGCAGAAGCGAGACTTGAACGTGTGTTATTCGTAAATGGGGAGTGCTAGCGGTGATAACAATGGATTAATAGCTGGACAATGAACTTATTCAGAAAAAAAGTGTTGTCCTACGAAGGTTTTACATCTGCCATCTCAATTCAGTATTTTCAAAGGAAAAGGATCTGTTACTTTGAATGACAGGTTCAGTACAGAATATCTAAATGCATCCAAACGAAAAGCAAAGCGCGTTTCTACAGTAAACTACAATCAAACAGAACTAACAATTTTTGATAAAACAAATATAATTGCTGCTTGGGTTTAACATTCGAAGTTGATAGCCTTCTGAGATTTTTGTGTACAAAATATTAACACGACCAGATGATCCATCAGAAATCACTTTAAAGTATCAACATAATTGTATGGGCATACGACCGACACATAATTAGAAGGGACTCTTATCTTCTAATTGAAGAATAGTTGTTTAATTCTTATTTACCGTTCAAATTTAAAACAAAAATTACAATTTTTATAGGATGAAATAAACACATGGTACAAAAAGTTGATCAACAGTTTACCGGTGAGTCACTATGACACACATCGAGAGGAGAATATAGACGTAGTAAACATTGTACTACAAATAACGTATCGAGTAAAGTATGACTTTTCCCTCAACAAAATTGTGGTGCAGACAATGCAAATGTATGAACTAACGAAATTAGTGGGAGATATTGCTACTCACCAATACTTGAACTATATTCTTGTGTTTTCCTTCTAATTGTGTTATCATGTTGATAGGCACTTTTTCCGTTATCTGGGTTGCGTAATGCGTGTGTGCTTAAGTAATTTGACGAAAAGTGATCCCGCTCCATATGATGGACAGGAGATTTTCTAAACTTTGACTCAAATTCTCCCCTGCATTGATTTCTCAATCCCATTGTCCCAGAGCTGTGCTCACTTGAACGTGCGATGTGTTTGTAAATAAAGGATCGTAGTAAATGACGATTTTCCTAAAAGTATGGATCCAAACAAAACTATTCTTTTAGACTAAGTACTAAATAATATACTGTATTTAGAAAAGTAATTAAGAACGACGTTACATTTCAGAAACAATAAAGCACCACAAGCCAAGTATTAAAATTACATAGTAATTTTGTATTGGAATTGATAGTACTGCAGTATGTTACAGTTGGTTTCATATCAGGAGTATGCGCAAAAGTGATAAGACCATAAATCAAGACAATTGCATTGTACAACATTACGCTCATAAGATCAATATCTGAATATTAATCGACCGACTTCAACAAAACTAAAAATATAGATGGGACGCTGCAATCAACGTGTATAATGTAATTATCATGATAATTAATTCATATCATAATGTGAATAAAAATTGATGTTCATCCAACTGTTTCAAACACTAATAATGAAATTTAATTCCTTTTAAATGTAAGAGAGTCAGATATCACTTCATATATGATAAGTGGAAACATTCGATATGTCGATTTCAACAATAGAAGTGTTGTTGGTGATGACTAGCATCTCCAGATATACTATTTACTAATGGTAATAATAAGTTTATGAATCACAGCAAACTCGTTCATCTAAACGATTCATATCGGTAATCGGACAGATCTTAAACGACACTCTGAGTAACTAATGATCTATGAAGCATTTTTTCATCTGCAATCTAAACTTGCAGTTATTTTGGAGGGCAGTCTACCCTAACAAATTTCCTTAATCTTTTAATTAGCAGCATTTTGGAGACAGCTTTTTATGAAAGAAATAGCAGTGAAATACAACAATCTTCTATATGAAAAAAAAACATTTCGATATCAGAATACAACTTGAGTGTGCGAACAAAGACATGTTAGTTAAGTTGTAATTAGCCATCTGTGAAAAATGTAAAAACTATTTCGATCGTTACAGATGTCGAGTTTTGATAATTTAAACGTAAGTGAATTTCATGTAGGGTACGTTACAGTTAGCAATGAATAAATTTCTCAATCAGATATTCGGGTGTGTTTATGCTGTGGAAATAAAATTAACGAAAATGGTGTTACCTCATCAAAAACGGCGACCAGAAGAAACATAAGTACAGCTGTTAGAGCCATTGCAACTGGTACAACAATTAGCATAGTGAAAGCGTCCAATAGCTGAATGTAAATTGCAATGTATGGAATTCCTAACGTTAGCATCAACTGCGTCAGCACTAAAAAGTGTCTACAATTATAGATAGAAAGAATCAAGGTATTAAGAACTTGGATATGGTTGTCATAGACAAAAATAACGTGAGATGCTGCACATATGTTTGTAACTCAGTGATATTGCAAAATGAAATAACAACTGTAGTGTAGAATTACGAAATGGGAAACATGATTACATTTCGTACTTAAACCGAAAGCATTGCTTTCTGAATAATCTCAAGTGTAAATGAACTACCTTGATTTAAACCTAGGCTAATCGAGACAAAATGGAAGCTAACGCAATTTTAAACCAGTTAAAAGTACCAATAATTCACAGATCAGAATAACCTACAAAGAAATATCTTCGTTTGTTTTCTGATCAGTAAATTTAAAATGACAATTCGGTTATTTACCCTCTGGAAAAGGGACTTACACTAAGTGTCAATTTCCTACTTGATATGATAATTAAAAATATATCATTTTTATCGTTGCTAATTTACTAAATACTCAAATAAAAATTATCAAGTAAAACCTTGGTAACGATGGAAAAATCAAATAGTTTGGTAATTCTTGAAACCAATCACTGATAAAAACTGATTAAGCAGTTTCATGGAAGACAATTCATACAATATTTTCCTCTTTATTGATGTTGACTTTTCAGATGAAAGGTTTTGCGTAAATACTAAGAAAGCGTATACAATCTTTCATTAGTAGTAAGTTGCTTTAGTTTAGAAACTGGAATCGAAAGTAGATGCATAAAGCATACGTACGTTGTTTTATTTAGTTTACTTTTGCGAGTAACAAGATAATTTCTGAGAAGGACGAGACCAACTACAAATAAAATAACGAAGTTAAAAGTAACAACTGTTGTTATTGGACCAACAAAAGACCAACGGAGAGTTTTGGGACCAATGCAGCTAAAAGGATAAAAGTAAACAAAAAAATTGTATTAACGAAAAAGCAATGTTTGTAACACTCGAATACATGGGTCAAATAAAAGGCAGTCTAATCTATGTGCGCAAAATACGAGATAAATGATAACAGCAACTGCTAGTCTCAAAAAAGTCACACAAAAAGAAATAAGTCTGTGTTGTTTGGGCGATGGCAGATGCGTCCGAGTCTTGTTGGGAACATGAAACTGGTATGCATGTACAACTAGGCGGGTTTTAATAATGTTGGATTTTACAATTAGGCATGGTAAAATTTAACTAGACCAGCAGTAAGCTTTAAACAAAGACTTTATTTGATGAACGTGCACTGATAATTATCTAGACTGACGTAAAAGGTTTATCGTAGGAAATCTAAAAGATATGAGAGCAATAAAACTATAGGAATATCCACAACCGAGGAAACAAAGATGTTAACTTACAGACCACTGTTACTAACTTCTCCTGTGTAGCCAAACCATGTACCAATAATAATTGCAGGACTCAAATAACCTATCCAAACTAATGGCAAACAATTTTTCGGTTTAGAAACAAGGTCATGGTATCGAGAATGTGGTGCAATGCTAGAGCAATTTTAAAAAAGGCAAGAAAGACTTTTATAACTACAGCAGCAATGCACGAATAATCTAACTATTATTATAAATTTGATTGCAAAGTATAGAGAGTTGTACGACATGAAAAAAATTGATGAAAATGTAGTAAATGCGGTTAATGGAGTAGATCCCTGCAGTTTCCAGGGCAAATTTTGATCTGAAGTATTCTTAGTGATAAATTTTATTACATATGATAGACTTATTGAGCAACTGATTATTAAAGATTTACATGCACGATCGCATATTAGATCATGATAGTTCAACAACAGTAAAGGACGATATTTCCTATTTTATGATGATATTATATACCGACCGACTACCCACTATTTTCTCCAACTTTCAGTATCGTAAAGCATTGCGCCATATGATTACTGAACAGATGACAAGCAGAGCGGAGAGTAGCATTAGGACTTAAATATACCTAATTATGAAGAATGAGTGATAATATGGGTTTTTGTCGGGGTTGACTAATCTGAGCTAGATTTTTAATAGCGAAGTTTCCTTTCCATTCTGATGACCATAATCGCAACTAGTTATCCATTCCGTTTCATTTTCTTTAGCTGTAATCCTGTTCAAGTTGACAATTCTGTATCATTGAACTTCGACCAGGTTTTACTACTAATTATCAACAATTTAGGCGATGAGATAAATCAATCCTAAAGTAACGTTTTACATTTGGAGGTTGAGGACCCCATCCTAAACATGCTTGCATTGTTGCTTAAGGTGGTTAGAAGACTGTGTTTTGTCAGAATCTTCACCAAACTGAACTATATCACCTGAGTAAGTTTAGTCAACAAGTGAATCTCCTGGTAGAAGATCAATTGAAAAGTCAGACATTGGAAGTGTTATCTCTAAAAGCATGTATATGACAAAGTTAAATAAAAATGGAGAAACAGAACAACCCTGACAAGAGTCACTTGAAGTAACCGAATCCGATGACGGTTTGTCATAAGCTCTGATTCGATCAATATTGTTCTAGTAGAGAGCATGTACAAGATTATTGTCCTTATCTGGTACGCCTTTTATTGACAGACCGTGTCATAGAATCTCACGATCAACTGAGTCGAATACCGACTTGAGACTAATGTTGGATGTCCAACTAGATAATATGATATTTACCACAATTACGATTCCACGACGAAAAGAGACGGCTGATGAAAATGAAATCAATTCATTCTACTAATTACACAAATCAAAATTCAGAAGTTTAATGTATTTAAAACAAATTAGTCATTAGAAAAATAAAATTGAATTAAAGAACTCCCGATCGTACTATACTACATAAATATTGCAGACAACTTTATATATATGATAGAGTGTTAAAAACAAAGGCATTTTTAAACCTTTATTATCTTTATCAGTTATTATGAAACCACAAAAACGAATGCCAAGAACTTATACCGTGATTTAAGTGCATTTAGATATTTATCATGTCTAAAATGAGAAATATAACATACATGGAAATGTTGTATAAGAATGGAGATAATTGTAACCTACATTAATATTAAAGTATTCAACCCAAATATAAATTTCCATGAAAAAGCAGCCAACGGAAAATAGCAAACAGCAACAGCGATGATAGTGCACAAAATCGGTTGCCTGTCAGTCGTATGTGGAATCGCCAAAGAAACAATTGCACTAACCATTAAGCAAAACGCTATGTTGAATTGATCCAACCGAAAAACTCCACTGAAAAAAAAGAAAAGTATGATGAAAATACACTCTTCCAAGCGATGGCTTGCCCGCAACAGTGTGTAAGTCACACGCATATTTTAAGGTGTTTATGAACTGTGTTATTAATAAATAAATTTTAGCTGTCTCACTCTTCCAAACGACGGTAGCACGGACATAGACTAAAATAAAATTTACTCAATGTTCGCCTACAGTTGCGGGCAGCTAATGCAAAAATGCAAAGGCATCGTAGATAAGTAACAGTAGTAACTGGGATCAGAAAGGAATCCCATCTGACTGCTCTCGATTGCTGATCGTACCACTTTATTAGCAGAGACCAAAAGTCTTTCTTGATAACCGTAGAGTAATCAATTTGATCAATACCAGCCTGTATAACCGTGCGACGATTATCTGTCGCTTGAAAAAAAGAAATCAAGGGATACCAAACTAGCATCAATGCAAAATGTTACTTCAGGGTTGTTTGTATCAACGCCTGAACTGATGATAGTGAGTAAAGTAGTTGAGCGCGTCGATTACTTCACTTATCATGAAAGTTAAACCAAACCTGGTGAGTCGGTGTCTGAAAAAATCTCGACGCATTTCAGACAGTTCGTTTAGCTTTTGCTAACTTGCATCACTTGTGACGCTAGCAAGATGTCTGTCCACCGACCTAAGGAACACTATACTTCTCAGTAGTTCGTTCTGTTCTACTTTATGTATATGAAACATATCCTTTGAAAATATAGAAGGAAATTTGTACGTCAACACTCATTGAACATAGATATCTTTGGAACATTGTACGCGTATGTTGGGATCATCTAGTGAGCAAAGCTGGGTTTAGACGCAGAGTACTGGATAGAGATGGCAAATTGGTTGATGCGGTTAAATATTTCACAGACTTATAGGTTTTAGGGAGGTTTCAAAAATCTTTTGAACTACACTGGCTTTTGAGGTTCAAGAAAACCTAGTCTTACAAAAATATAATACGGGGTGATTTTACTGTAAGAAGATAGTAGGCAGGAGGAAGGTATGTTCGTTGTGAGAAGTTACAAAGTGATATGGAAACCCAGTTAGAAATACCATTGTGAAAAGGTCAATCGATGGAAATCAGAAGTGACTTAATTATATTGTCCATTTGCATCTTTTAGTGCGTTCTTTCATTTGAACTGCCTTTCATCTGCTCTTCAAGTGTTCTGTTAACGATGCGCTTTCGATGTTCTGGAATTCTTCATTTCATCAGACAATTGCTGCATATTGGATGCCATATATCGCTATATACTGCTTATAAACACTATTGTGAGTAACGTCCACTACACTATCACTATGATGCTATCCAGTAATCGTTTACCTTAACCAACTTTTCAATAGGTCAAATATCATCTTGTAATAGATTATGAGTAAGATGATTCGAGACGTTATATCATTTGATTGAATTAAAGTGTGAACAAAATTCTTGGTACTTTTTGGCTATCGGGGTTACGATGAAATTCGTTAATATAATATGAATTTTTTATCGAGGCACTGTAGTCACCAAAAATATTCAGACTATTTTTGAAACGTAAACAAAAAATACTGAGAAAAATCGTATGCACAATAGAATACTAACTTACATGAAACGGGTGAATATTAAAAACAGGAATAAAGCGACAATAGTTACGAAAGTAAAAATATAATTAACAATACTTATGGAGTACACATGTGTTAATGGAATCTGAAAAACACAAAATAAGTATTAATGGGAGCGATTATTCAAAATAAAAAATATTTCAAGATATTAAAAAGACATTTAATTTGATAATAGAAAACCTGAACGGGAGTTAAACGGTTTCCCCTAAATTAAAAATTACAGTGATATTGCGCACTTTTCCTAACCAGTAAGAAATTAAAACGGATAATTATGAATCAAGCTACTGAAAACCAAAAACTAATCCCCAGTAATCATCTGAAACTGTAAATTCACTGTATACACATAACTTACATGTGACGACCCTAACCAGTAGACCAAAGCGATCGCGAATGTTCCACCCTGAGCTGGAAGACATTGGCATTCAAAATTAGAACCGACAATTATTGTTTTGCAATTTCCATCATTCCACAGTTCTTTAAACTCGCTAGTTGAAAGAAGAGTAGAGTAATAACTAAGTGTGAGATTTAAAACAATTATTACTATTCATTAACCTGTAGTATAATTAATAGAACTGACTCACATACTAGATCTGTTACGATGTCGTCACAACAATGAATAGAAAAAAACCACAAACATCAAAAATAACATATGTGCATGAGGCCACAAATTTTATTTTATTTATTTATTTGAACACATAAATATTGGTACAAGAGAGCGCCAAAAGCGCCACAAAAGCAGGACATGAAACTGTAGCACTAACAAACTGCAATAAGTTAGTACTCTATTGGCAAAAATGAAAGATAACAGTAGGCAGTCTAGGAAAAATATCCTAAATAAATGCATGGCCATATGATTACAACAAAGTAATCAGTTGGAAAATAAGAATAACGAATACTAATATTCCAAAAACACAATAGTTACACGGGTTTGGGGTGGTGCATGCTTAAACATTTCCAAATAAATTATAAAATATTAATATATAAAATGGTTCTAATAATGAAGTGGCAAATTTTCCTGTATTTGAAATGAACATTAATAACATACGGTAAATTATTAAAATTTTAAGTCATCAGTATGAAGTATTAATGAAATAAAGAACGTCTTTAACGGTTTTAAACAACAGATTGAGTGGCAGAAGTCAAACAAAGTTAGTCAGTCAGCCACAACGTAGAACCAGACACATATATGCATCGGTTCAAGTTGCCACACCTCATTAGCACAACGAGATGAACACCGAATTCACAGAAATAGTTAATTTAATGGTGGTAATATATAAAAGAAAGATTGCATATAAGGATATAACACATGAAGAAAGAATTAGGCTGTATAAAGGAAAATATAAAGCAATTTTAATCTCATAGTTTAAGGGAAGACAGAGAGTGTACACTTCTACGTCATTGTGATCGATTCTGAGTCATGTCACCTAGAGTCTCCAATCATTCATTACGATAGTCACACGGACTTCAACCAAGTAGTCTGCATCTACCAGTATGGCTAAGACTAGAGGCTAGTAACTTAAAGTACTGATGTCACGTTTCGGTTTGGCCGCACCTAACTTCCTTCCAACCATCCCCAACACTAGTCAGCATTGCGCGTCGTGGTAATCGGTGACCCAACCATCTCAGTTGGTGAAGATTTACCATCATTCCCTGATACCCTGAGTCTAACCTCACTATTACTTACCCGATGATCCCAGAAGATATGAGAAATATTTATAAGGCATCTGTGGTCAAATACTAGTAGCTTACGAATATCTCTACTCTTAACGGCCACGTTTCGCAGCAGTAAAATAGGACAGAACGAACTGGCGCACATTATACTCGTCCCTTAATTGATAGACGGATATCTCGTCTACGCCACAAGTGATATAAGTTGGAAAAAACCAAGCAAGCTTTTTGAATCCTTGCACCGATTTCGTCAGACACCAACCCGTTCGCGCTGATCAGACTTTCAAGATAACTGAAGTTGTCGATGCGTTCGAATACTTCACTCCCTATCCTTAGTTCGGATGTTGACGCAGACCAGTCCTGAAGCAGCAGCTTGCATTTAGAGGGAGAGAAGCGCATTCCAAACATTCTGGCATTGTTGCTCAGTGCTACCAAAAGACTGCATTTTATCAGCATCTTCACCAAACAGGACTATATCATCTGCGTATTCTAAGTCGATAAGTAGACTTCCTGGTAGGAGATCAATGCCCGAAAATTCAGTCGACGAGAACGTTACTTCCATCAGTATGTTTATGACGAAGTTGAACAAAAATGGAAATAGTGGACAGTCCTGCTGGACATCAATTGATGTTGCGAAATCAGATGACAGTTCGCCATAAGCTCTCACTCGATTAGTAGTGTTCGAGTAAAGAGCCTTCACAAGGTTTATGTACTTCTGAGGTGCGCCTTTCAATGACAGACACTGCCATAGAATCTCGGAGTCAAATGATGCTTTAAGGTCAAGAAAAACCACCATTGTCGGACGCCGAAAAGCATGTCTTCACTCTAGAACCTGACGAATGGTAAATCTGTAGTCGATACAGCCACGACCAGGTCTCAAGTCAACCTGATTTTCTCATGGTTGCAGTTCAAGAGTCTTAGTTAGGCGTCCGATAATTATTGAGGCTAGTATTTGAGATACTATATTAGTTAAACTAATCCCTCTATTGTTATCAGAGGATGAATTTGGCCCTTCCTTATATATTGGGACGATAAGTGATTGCGACCAGCCGGATGGGATAACGTCTAACTCCCAGATTTTAGCTAAAATATTAGTCAACCTAATCGCTAAGATCGGACCATCATCCTTAAAGATCTCTGGAGCCAATCCATTTGGACGAGCTGCTGTTCCTTGTTTCAGATTAGCTATAGCTTTTTGAACTTCAGCTAGAGTTGGGGGACCTACCCTAATGTTCCATTCACACTATCTGGGAACGGAGGGTATTTGTAGAGTAGCTGAATGCCAGCTGAACTGTTCTCTGAAATGTTCCGTCCACCGTTCTAAACGTCCAGTCTGGGAGCAGATGAAAGTGTTGTCTTCTTCCGTGATATTCTCTCTTACACTTGACTTCTTAGTTCCAGTTTCTTTGATTAGTCTGTAGTGCTGTCTTGTTTTCCTTATAGCCGCCGCCTTTTTCATCTCTTTTGCTTTCGTTGCCCACCACTTCTCACGGTCGTTCCTCAGACTTTTGGTTAACCTAGATGTGATTTGTTTTCGTTCTTCATCGTGTTCAGAGCCTGATGGGATGGGTTCACGAGAATTCATTAGTGTAATAGACCTTGAAGAAATCCATCGGTTATTCGTAACCCTGTGGTTTATATCACTAATAGATGTTACTGCTGTTTCCACAGCTGCTTGCATATCTTTTCAAGCAACATCTGGGTCAACCTCGTTTTCAGAACTACCTAAGTGTGACCTCAGTTGTTCCTGGAACCTTCCCAAGGGACAGCTGCTTGAGGTCGGTCACACACGACCTTTTTATGAGTAGTAGTAGTTTTTAGGTCAAACAAAAAGCAGAGTTTATTCAAAAACGAAAATTACTCAGGACGGAAATGGATAGACAAATATATCAAAAGTATGGAATAAGTGGGTTATGGTCGTAGTTAAGATAAAGAACACAAAAATAAAAAAAGTGTAACTTTTCTAAATCATTTTAATGAATCATTGGTGTAGCGATAAAAATAAACTGAGATGATTGGGGGTTGAAGAGAACCTAGAATAAATGAAACACTACAAAACATGATATAATCAGTAGCAAGACTAGACTTACGGATTCTGCTTTAGTTGTTCACATGATACAGTGATATTCGGTTTCTAAAAGAAAAATTAATAAAGATTCTAATCAATAAAGGTGAAAACTGTGAAATAAAGTAATTGAAAAAATGAAGGAATCCAAAGTGATGCAAGAAATCGTTAAACACTGAATTCTTCTACAGTAAATTGTATGTACCGAAGAATTATATTGCCATGATGATTAAACAAAATCAGACTTTGACATCCCCAACAGTTTACGAAATTGAGAGGGTGAAAAGCGAATTTCCGGTGCTTTAACTGGGCTGGTAGAAACGGAGGGTCTACCTAGGTGAGTTGAAAAATCCTGATTCCAAACCAATGGCGCACATGGGTCCCAAATACTGAGGGGATAAATGGCGTATGATCCTATCGTTGGTCACCGAATACCATGGAACTGCATCTCCTGACGTTGCTTCATTGCAATGTGGATTAGACCATCAAGTGAAAGATTTAGGGGGTAGTACCCTAAGGAAATCACCTGCTTCGGTTTGGGCACCTGTGTAGTATCACAGCCCTCGCACAAACGAATGATAACTTCTACTGACCTCTTTGTTAATTTGTGACGCATATTACGTTTATATCTGACAGAACAAATTATACAGACATGCCATGATAGTTGTACAATTCAAATTCAGAATTCCTTTTGATCCTAAAGAGCACTCATTACAAAACCGACAAATTCATATATGATCCAATACAGTCAAACAGAATAACTATCCTAATCCATAGAAAATGAGTCTATTTAATGACTACAAACAAATGTTGATAGTGTTATGAATAATGAAAGCAGTCATCTTATGGTGCAATGCTAATATTTGATAATATTTTCTGCACGCTAAGAGATTGTGAGAGTTTTGAAAAATGGAATTCAAAAGAACCTATTTTGTAGATTACTCAATGAGCTGCATAAACTACAAATTTCTTATCATTATGCAGTAGACAACGACACTATTAAACCACTAAGTTAAACGACAACCCTTTTTTAGAATCCATCATAAATATTGAACAAATAACTAGTTTTGAAAATGCTATCTCTCAAGAAAAACATAAAAGTTCTAGTACCAATTAAAACTTTAAACACAGGCTACTATTCAGCTAAGCGTAAGCAATCCATAATCTACAAAAGCCAATAAATAACAAATTTAAAACTTAGATTTAAAAAATAGATAATAAATGCTAGGATGATTATACATTATTACCTGAGATAAATCCACAGATAGAGTGAATGATAGACCGTTGTTGGTGTCGACCAATACAACATCTGAGTCTAAGGAAGGTGTTGTCACTTTTTTGATATTGTCTAGTTGTGTCAGAAGAACTCCTGGAAAGTTGGCAGCTGGGATTACGGCGATGAATGTATCATGCATTTCTGTGAAATTAAACACCACCAGAAAAACAATGATAAGTAGACAGTGTTTGGAATTCCGTGTTAATGAAAGAAACGGAATGTTGAATGCTTGAGATGGAATGTCACTATTATATAGAAGATTGACGAATAACGACTGATTATGTATCATGTATATCATGAATGATTAAAAAACATGGAAAAAAGTACTCTACATATCCAGTAAAACTTCCACACTCTTGGTCCTAATTTTCAGGTAAAACAATGAAATAAATGACCACATTGGGAAATATTGATTCAGAAAAAATAGTGAATACTTTTTAGATCAGTAAATTAGACTCGTGAGGCCAAATCACTCGTTGACCGACTTAAAATGTCGACATAAAACCTTATGTTAACTTGAAACTACCCGGAAAAAAATAAACATTGGCTGGACTGGGCATCTCGGTGGATAACGCATTCACGTTTAAAGCGACAGGTATCGAATTTGAGTGTCAATGTGAACATCGGGACCGAGATTCAGGTACCTCCAGATGATAAGTTTCACACGGGAAAGAAACGGGGGTGCTGTATTCGTCTACTACCCACAATCTATTTATGCTATAAAACTTGTGACAAATGGCTTTATGGGCGGAATCCTTAAAGCATAAATATGTCAATGAATAATCGTGAATATGAACAATAATCTAAACAGTTTCAATTAGTAACTTATAAATCCTGAGTACTTATAATAACTTCTATATTAGTCCATTGAAATAAAGTTTTAATTTTATTAATAGAATATATCAAGGTACATGCAATGCATTAAATTGTGTAGTAAGCAAGAATTTCTGTTTTATAAAACAGAAAAATATAGACCGTACGCTAAGTGGTTGAAGGTTATGATCTTAAAGAACAACAAGATTAAACTGTTAAGTAAAAAAACGCATGAAAGTAAGTTATTCTTAATTCGTAAATATAGTCACAAAAAGTTAGAATGGTTAAAGTAATTTCTATGATCTTTGATCTAACCTGATTGCTTTGGTTTAATGAAAAACTTGATCACCTTCCCTTGCGAGCTATTCATTGTTATATTGCCTGTATCTGAAGATAAATGCTTAAAAAATAATACACAAATAACATAAATTAAGACTGCAAACTCTCAGGACAAAAAAAGCGTGAAATCCAACATTCACACCATCAAAACAGAAATACTGAGTCAAGTGTAAATAAAATGAGCGTAAGTTCTAACACAGCCTTAGTAATATACTGTAAAGCTGAATAGGTATCAACGAAGAATAAACAACATATAAACAAATAACAAGTGAACTCAACTGACGAGACACTAAGGTAGGTTTTATAAATAAAAGAAATATTCACACTCACCTAACAGAATTACGTAGTGACTTAAATCTATGAATAAAATTGGACTAAAATCAGATGAAAGCAAAGTTTCAGGGAAATGGGAAAATCGATTATCTAAAATTGCTTTATTCCTTGTAAATGTATAAGATTACAAATAACATCAAACTGTAACTTCAGCATACTGAAATTAGTTCAACTTAATGCTAACTAATCGACTGGTAGTCAGAAATGTTTTATAACTGCAAATCAACCTACGGTACATAATAAAGCTAAAATTTACAGCAAGACAAAACTTTATCAACAAGCTCGTGGAGATTATTTAAACAGTTTTTATTACACCGTAACATCAGAACTGATGTTTCGTTCTACCATGAGACTTTTCAGTGAAACCCAATTAGAACACTAGCGTGGATCTAATACATGACTCTCGCATTTCACCGCAAGTACGAGACAAAGAAAAAAGTGAATCACGATCAAATGCATAATATCGCCTGGGGTATCGCTTCCGCTACATGAACTGAAATTTCTACCCTTGATCTCTGACGGGGTTCTTTTTAGGTTATGATGAGGAGTCGCATATAAGGGCAGAACAACTACCCAGGGCTGTCTGATTTATATTGGTTCTTTGGTCAGTTTTAGCTTGAGATGAATATTAACTGCAAAGAATTGATTAATCAAGAATTAAAGTATGTATTGAAGATATTCTACTCAATTTTTAATGAAGATTTTATTTACGTACGTTAACGTCAAAAGCCTATTCAAAGTTTGGCGCCTAGCTTTTTCAGTCAAAAATGCTCAAATGTATAGATTTCGGATTGTCATACATCGGATTCCCATCAAATTTTGTATTCAGTCACGACTTAAGCGTGTATTCTCTTACAAATTAATTGAAACTTGATCTAAGATACAGCACATTTAGCTGAATATCATTTGATGCTTTCCACCTGAACGAACAAGACTCGCTGTCTATAAATCTATTTTAACCCATTGGGATATGCAAACCTGTTTATACAAGTTAATTTTATACTATCACTGACAACTGCACACATGGTTTCATGATATGTTAGTAAAAATGAACCGTAACACTCGGCTTAAGTTGAGACAAACTAGTAGATAACTTTAACTTGAAATATGATATAAACAATTAGTGTCACAAAAACCTCTACTGACACACTTATACCGTAAATAGTAAAAACAGTTTCCATGAAAAAGCAATCAGTTTAGGGTTTTCATCATGAACGTTTCTGAACTGTATGATTCCAAATGTACGAATAAACACTACAACGATGAGAATCGTAAATGTTAAGTAAATGTATGCGAATAGCCAAACTGATCATTCATAAAACTGTACAGTATTTAGATGGTGGTTGGAGGTAGTCAACAGGAAACCCTGGACCCGGGTTTCGTGCTACTTGGCACTCGTCAGTAAGGTGTAGCTGTAATCTTGAGGGAACTGGAGCTCCCTGGCGAATTCGATCTCGTGTCACCCAGCTTCACAGTCAGAGACGTTACCACTGAGCTATCCGAGCAGTGACTAACCTCGTGTAGGACTGAGATGTAATCAAAATTGATTGATCACTGGGTCGTGATCAATGTCATGCTTGTTTAGTCCTTATTAGTGCAGATAGAATGCTGTCGATCATGTTGCAATGTGGCAACCAGTCTAGGTGACTCGACACTGCGGGCACTATATATTAAGATTTAGATGGTGGTTGGATCGACAGCATTCGATCTGCACTAATAAGGACTAGATAAGCATGACATTGATCACCACTCAGTGATCAATCAATTGTGTACAGTATTCTTTTACAAATTCCCACTATCAAATGATAAAACGGCCAACCAAACCGGAAACGCTTACCCAAAACCGTAAATTCTTTTCAGTTTCTTTGTCGGACCTTAATAAATCGATAACAGAAGGGGTTTGGCGGGCGATCTCCGCGATTAAATGGAGAAATACGGAGACTGTTTGCAGTTTTTTGGAAGCTGAAGTCAACGGAAATTCTGAATTCGCAGTAGAGTTTGTTGACCAATTATAACCGGATGCAACAATGGTTGGAGACATATCTAATGCAAACCTCATGCTGTCAAGTAACTGACTGGCAATTGAACGACGTTCAGAACTGAAATAAATGTAATGAATTTATGAATAAAAATGATCTACGTTAAAACACAGGAAATCTTAATAGGAAACTTTGCAATCTGATACAAATACACTGAGTGAACGCAAGAAAAGATGTAAATGGACAATATAATTAAGTCACTTCTGATTGCCATCGATTGACCTTTTCACAATGGTATTTCTAACTGGGTTTCCATATCACTTTGTAACTTCTCACAACGAACATACCTTCCTCCTGCCTACTATCTTCTTACAGTAAAATCACCCCGTATTATATTTTTGTAAGACTAGGTTTTCTTGAACCTCAAAAGCCAGTGTAGTTCAAAAGATTTTTGAAACCTCCCTAAAACCTATAAGTCTGTGAAATATTTAACCGCATCAACCAATTTGCCATCTCTATCCAGTACTCTGCGTCTAAACCCAGCTTTGCTCACTAGATGATCCCAACATACGCGTACAATGTTCCAAAGATATCTATGTTCAATGAGTGTTGACGTACAAATTTCCTTCTATATTTTCAAAGGATATGTTTCATATACATAAAGTAGAACAGAACGAACTACTGAGAAGTATAGTGTTCCTTAGGTCGGTGGACAGACATCTTGCTAGCGTCACAAGTGATGCAAGTTAGCAAAAGCTAAACGAACTGTCTGAAATGCGTCGAGATTTTTTCAGACACCGACTCACCAGGTTTGGTTTAACTTTCATGATAAGTGAAGTAATCGACGCGCTCAACTACTTTACTCACTATCATCAGTTCAGGCGTTGATACAAACAACCCTGAAGTAACATTTTGCATTGATGCTAGTTTGGTATCCCTTGATTTCTTTTTTTCAAGCGACAGATAATCGTCGCACGGTTATACAGGCTGGTATTGATCAAATTGATTACTCTACGGTTATCAAGAAAGACTTTTGGTCTCTGCTAATAAAGTGGTACGATCAGCAATCGAGAGCAGTCAGATGGGATTCCTTTCTGATCCCAGTTACTACTGTTACTTATCTACGATGCCTTTGCATTTTTGCATTAGCTGCCCGCAACTGTAGGCGAACATTGAGTAAATTTTATTTTAGTCTATGTCCGTGCTACCGTCGTTTGGAAGAGTGAGACAGCTAAAATTTATTTATTAATAACACAGTTCATAAACACCTTAAAATATGCGTGTGACTTACACACTGTTGCGAGCAAGCTGTTGTCTGATCTCATCGTCAGTGAATTTAGAAGTGAAATTCAAAATATAATCTGGATTTATGCGATACAGAGTTTTGGCGTTGTACGAAACACTATGTAGATTCCGTCCGTAATCCTAAATGGAAAGAGTCATTTGAATAATAACTGAATTGGACAGGAACATGAGTAGTTGAAATAACCTACATGTGGATAAGAAGTGGTGGTAAAACTCATACTCAATTGATACAATCTTAAAAATTTGCCATTCAATACAACAGTATTAAAGATATAACGATTTCAAAATTGACGGTCAGTAAAATTCAAACTTTTACAAACGTTATTTTAGAATATGAAATCGATGTTTTATATCAAGCCGAACAGGTAGCTTCTACGAAACAGATGAACTTATATTTCATTGATCATAATAATCTTAAAGATAGGGTTTTATCTTATACGAGTCTGTTCGCTGGACAGGTAAAATATTGGTAACTTGTTTGTAATGCTACACCCCCAGAAATCACTTGGTAAACGTCTCATTTATATAATTTTATTATTTATTTCATTACGCTATTTTGTGACATTTTCCCAAGAACATTTTGGTACTGTCAGAAAATCTAATTTTTCTATTATTGTGCTGTATATATACTCATGAGTTGTGCTTTTCCGTTCATGTTTCCGGACTGTTTGTGGAATATATATTTTTCTCGGCTGGATCTAGTTTTCTCCATCTCGTTATCAGGGCTGAGTAGTGGAATAACTAATCTGGCCCTGAAGTTATGTTGCTGACTTTCATTACGTTCGCCGGTCTTATGTGCTATTGTGATCTCTCCAAAACTCAAAAGTGGCGAAGAGGCTGGTGCAGCATGGATCCTACAAAAGTGGAATTATTAATGGAGCAGCATTTTATACTTATCCAGATGTTGACAGATAGGAAAATTACGCCTACCTCTCAACCTAGCACATATATTTCCACTACTGCATTGCCAGCTAACAGCACCACCAAAAGTATAACCGAATTTCACTACGATCGCGATGCTAATGTTACTTTTGACATGTGGTTACGGCTTGATAAGGATCTATTTAAATTTGACTTTACATCTGAACCCACACGACTGCTCATTTACTGACACTGTCCAATTATTAAGCCAACAGTTTGGAGATAACTCCTCACTACCCAATACACGTTATCGATGCTTCAAGCTGATAATGAACGAAGATGCTGACCTTTTTTATCATGTGGGCGAATGCGAACACTTCCTGATGAAGTCGTTGACTGAAGATCAGTTGAAAGCCCTCATTCTCATATGCAGTCTTCAATCGCAAAAGTTTAGTTACAGTAGAACGCCGTTACTGTGCAGGTTGCACGAGCCTGTCCGTTTAAAAAACATCGTTGTAGGAAATGAAAGTCCATTGGTCACATTGCATCAGAAAGCCTGCTTCCAAATCCTGTACAGATTCGTCGAGCCTATTAACGTCCAATCACAAATCCAGGGAAGAGGAAATTCATTACTCTTAATATTACTGGGTATTCTCATCTAGATACAGCATCAGACATAACCATTATCTCGTGGAAATTTTCTCCCGTTGTTGTGTCGCTAACATCCGCTCTATTCGCCGGTCCTAGGTGATATCGTAATCTCTTCAAACGTAGCATGACTACGAATTTCAGATGAAATAAGATGGATGTATTTGAACAAATCATTGAATGTTCCACAAATGTGTTCGTGTACCGAGTGTTGAAACCTCCAACCCCGTCTACAATACAGCCAATTGTAAGGCTAAATTTTAACAGAATAAAGGCTTTAATTGTTTTCAATTCAATCAGCTATTCAAACTTTTTATGCCATTACGGCTATCATACCTCTAAATGATAATAAAGACGGAAAAATTGGGGAAGAGTTGTCAATTTCATATGAAGTAATTATCAATACGACATCAGTGTTAGAAAATCATGACTCGATGGTTTATTCGCACAGGCATTAAAGCTAGAAAACGCCAAAGTCAAACACTGGCTGTAATTTTCTGTTATACATCGATAACCTTGTGTGCGTCAAGAAATTTGTAGCCAGTGAGTCTTTTATAAAGGAGTAAGTGAGTAAAGTCATATGCTAACATTTGTTAATTTAATTTTTCTTTATTTAAGAACCATACTGTTACTGAAAACAAACTTACGGCTATTTCAGGGGAATTTCTGGAAACATGTGGACAAGACCAATTTAAATCTGAAAAATAGTGGGAGAAAATGAGAACGTTAGAGCCTCAACTGTAACTAAAATAAACTACAATATTTAGTGGTTACTTTGTAGATTATGAACAGCTATTAATCAAGCGGTAAAAACGAATGTTTTGTACAGATATTTGATACTAGCAGAGAATAAAATTAATTAAGAGTGGAAACGATACTGCACTCATTTAATTTTATTTTTATGAAAGCCCAATTGGTCACGTAAGAGATTAGTAAATATGTGAATAATTAGTTTTCTCTACATTGAAAATTTTCATAACATAATTTCTTTAATGAGCAAGTAGCTTCAGCTTATTAACCTTGAGTTAAAATAGAAGAGATTACAAAGAGATCATGTTAAACCATTCGAAACTAGATGTGATTAAAATAAAATTCACAACGTATAAGTATAGATTTAACATTTTAGAATTTTATCTACTCATAGTACATGAATTATGGTGAAATGAACACCAAAAATAGTGCCACACAAATGAAGAGATAATAATGTGAAGAGATAAGAGGAAAGTATGGTAGAACCATTAATAAGTGGACAATACCACTTATTAAGAGTTAAAGTCGAGTTAAAAATATAGTCAAGAAATAAAAGGTCAACTAGACAGGAAACGGGGTAAGACGAGATTAGGATAATAATAATAATGATAATAATAATAATGATAATAATAATAATAATAATAATAATAATAATAATAATAATAATGTGAACACAATTTGAAACTGTTTTTGAACACACAAAGGGGGTTTGAATTTTCGTATGGCTACGGCTTCAATGAACCTTAGTATACGCCCTTTTACACTTTTATACAGCACTACAAAAGCTGAATTTAGATCAATCTTGTGACCTGTTTCAATTATATGTTTAGCAATAGAGGATGATAGATGTTTATCCTCTGCTCTTATTGGATCACTCGATTGTATTTGTTTCTGAAGCCATTTGGGTACATGTTCACTCATCCTAATGTTGAGATCACGATTACTACTCCCTATGTGTGACCACACACACATTTAAATTGGTTAACACAGAGGGATGTGACGCAATCGTTTCCATGTACTTTAGGTTTTGAATGAAGCATACACCTTGTTCTTTCTTTGATGATGACCTTTGCTGCGCAATAGGTTTTACTGATGACTGATTTAAGTCGTTGTTTCAATAAAAGGCTATTTGAATCACCTCTGAATGGTAAGGTGATGTAGACAGGTTTTTTCTCTACCGAGGCTACAGTAGGTCTCGCTGTACCATGGACTTTCCATCTATTTATGAATTTTAGAGGATAGCAATTTTCTATTAACGTTTTATTTAACAACTTAACATCATCATCAATGGCGTCATTGGTACAAATACGGTCGAGTCTGTTGAAAAGACACCTTATCAAACCACGTTTGTATTGCACAGAGGATAAACATCCATCATCCTCTATTGCTAAATATATAATTGAAACAGGTCACAAGATTGATCTAAATTCAGCTTTTGTAGTGCTGTATAAAAGTGTAAAAAGGCGTATACTAAGGTTTATTGAAGCCGTAGCCATACGAAAATTCAAACCCCCTTTGTATGTTCAAAAACAGTTTGTTCTTACCTTAAACCTACCCTGGTAATATTGACTTATTATCCAGAGTGATTAGGTTTCAAATTGTGTTCACATTATTATTATTATTATTATTATTATTATTATTATTATTATTATTATTATTATTATTATTATTATTATCTCCTCTTACACCGTTTCCTGTCTGGTTGACCTTTTATTTTTTATATATAAATGCTCTTAACAAGTATATGTGTGACCAGATTGTTCGAAATGTATTGCGCTAATATATCACATAGTTCTGATAATCTTCGTATTCTAATATCATTATCGAAATTTATCAAAGGGACTAATTGTTTTAAATAGTCAAGAAAGATTTTTTAGTTTAGAGGGTGCCCCTTACTTTGACAAAAAATGTGATGAAAAGAAATAGACTAATCGCCATTAGATTCAACTCTGAGCCATATTTAACAACACCATAAGCCATGTTTCGGAGCACTCAGGTTTCATAGACAAAGCGAAACTGTGTTGCAAGCTTCCCAGTTAGACTGGTATCCTGACGGCAAGAAAAGTAGCCTAGGTTAATCGGAGTGATGAAAGAAATTTAGAGACACTCAAAATTCATGAGCGTGTGATTTATCTATGGTGATGACGTTTATCTTCGTTTGATATTATTTCTGTTACGAGGATTCCAACCCTTGAATGTTTTATTTAAGCAAAATTTGTTTGAAAATACCTTTCGGGTGGGAATCGGGAAGTTTTCTGTCCCAAACTAGCCCAGATGGTTTGAGACTATAGTATCACAGAACAGTGAAATAGAGTAGTCTTTCTTCCTATGAAATTTGAGCAAATATGTATGTAATACTAGTAGCTTTGTTTATATAACCTCGGAAAATAGAAGGATGCATATTTGTTTTATATTCCCATTAAATTTTATCTTGTATAAATGATATTCGATAAAAGGCTGAAACAGCGACGAAACTTACCTTTAGCCAAATACTCACAGGAATCTATTAATGGAACTCCTTTCTTACATCGATAAGAGTTATTCACTACGTAGCAATCATGGATCCCGGCATCACACAGCATGTAGCCTTGATTAGCAGCCTCAATGCACATATCTGACCCACACATTTTTTCGCCCATGAACCGATAAGAGACCTGGAAAATATATGAACACTGAAATCACTAAGTCAGCTTTATTTTCTTAATCAAAATTTACTTCTGATAATCTCAAGTATAACCATGCAATGGACTATGTAATAAAATTTCATTTATATTTAAAATGTATGTAATACTTTATTTAGAAAAGAAAAATAACGAAATAATACTTAGAAAATGGAATATGTAAGTCATTTGGTTTAAAAATGCGAGAAAAATCACCTGTGATAGACACTCTGAGATTAAAACCATAAACTTTGGCTGACTTACAAACCCCAAACTAAAAGCCAACGTGAACTAATCCCGTAAAAAATACTTTAGTGGGCCGATTCGCTTTGGAAAAAATCAAGTCAATTTTTAAAACTATCACACGACAGCTGTAGCTTCCATTCACAAAAATGATCAGTTAACAAAAGTAGATAAAAAGAAATAAATTGGAGTCCCATATCTCAACTAATATATCAGTTAATTTAACTAAGAAACTCAAACTACTGTCTGAATAACAGGCGGTCTGTTTGAATATCTTGGCTACATGTATATTTCAACAAGTTATCTGTTTTCTTGTTTGTTTTAACACATCATTATGCCCATTAGTCGCACAACCGATTCAGGAGCGTTTGCGACAAGTTTACGACATTTCGCCGTACAAGATACAAAAGAACCCAATATGCATCGAAAAAACTGTATATTATTCAAATGTCGATTCCCGAACTGCTAACACCTAACTGGCGACCACTCAATATTTGTCTCAAGGATCGATCAAGAAATAAGAAAAAAACCTGTTGAAATACTTTATGCTGAGAATTCTATACTGTACCCAAAATATAATATTGAACAAAGCCAATAATAATAATAATAATAATAATAATAATAATAATAATAATAATAATAATAATAATAGTAATAATAATAATAACCCAGTAAGACCCGTCATTCTTCCACGTTTCAAGATAGTGACACCCTACATTTATTTGCGTGTGAGTGAAAGATTTGTCACTAGTGTTACGCACAAAATGCGTCTGTAAAATTAGAATCTGGAAACTAACTGTAAGTCACTTAGATTGTATTACAAAGTACTTCCCGTCGTATTAACTATATTTTCACAAGCCTTAGCTGCAATTTAACAATAGTGGAATAGACAACGAGATGGAGATTGCTGACAAAAACATTTTGCGCTAAGGACTGTGACTTTTGAGCCATACATTGTGCATAAGGTTAGTGCTCACCCAAAAATATGAATTCCAGAAGAAAGCCGAAGCATCTAGAAATGATCATCGGCTCTTACAGTCTAAAAAACGAAATTACTAAATACTTATATTTCTGTCTAAGGTTTTTCACATCGGTATCAATATCGTATGTTATAATGACCATACACCTTGACACGTGACTAGATAAAATTCGATAAAAATTCCATTTCACGTTAGTCTAACTAAAGTAGATGGATACGTGAGTTGAAATGGTAGAGCAACGGATTAGTAATTAAGGCACTGAACTTACAGCCACTAAGTCCCAGGTCCGAACTCCGATCTACCTACTTCGGTCTGGGCAGGCGGGAAGTATCATTATTCCTCGTACTTACAGTGAAGCTCACACACAAATACCTGTTGAATGAGTTGATTTAAAATGTCAAAATGATGAGCATAATGAAATATATGACAATCATTTTGAATTCCAACGAAAAACTTTACAACCACATGATAACCGAGGTGCAGAATACAAATGTGTTCCCTGTTATCAAACACAGTACTGCGATGTGTATGCAAAACTATAAGAGGTACCTAGAAGGCCCCTGAATATTCAAAGTGTGTGTTGTGAATTTCCAGTAACCACTTTATGAGATCAGACGATTATTCATAATTCGGCCTTTCAAAATTAAATCGCATTCTCAAAACGTGGGTCATAGATGCTGACATCCAACTTGCAAAATGACCGACACAGATATATTATTTATAAAACTTAAGAAATAGTGATAAATGTGCATGAATTCAAAAGATTTTTCTCCGTACTAATACTTGAGGAACCCTAAGACGGGTTGTGGTTTATTTAACCTGGTACAACGTAAGTTAGGATGAGCTGTCCAGATAAACAACTAATCAGTAGTAACCACTGCATCTTATAGGCATATGAATAATTTCTAAGTTGTCTTTAATTGAAAATACGATTGATGTTTACCGAACTCTTCATTTCTATTCGCTCGATGTAGATAATAGCGCAAGGTGGAGCAAACATAATAATCGGAAAAACTTTATTATGAAAAGCAAATATATTAATTTGAACGAAGGAGAATGAAAAGTAACTTACTGAATCCGGATACACCCAGTCACTTATGTCTAAAAAGAGAAGGAAGTATTAATCAGGGGCTAACTTGCAAAACAGGTAGAAACGAATATATACATTTAGACAGTCAGTCAGCTACAACGTAGAACCAGACACATATATGCGTCGGTCCAAGTTGCCACACCTCATTAGCACAACGAGATGAACACCAAATTCATAGAAGTAGTTAATTCAATGGTGGTAATATATAAAAAGAAAGAATGCATATAAGGATATAATATATGAAGAAATAATTAGGTCGTAGAAAGGAAGATATACGGCAATTTTAATCTCATAGTTTAAGGGAAGACAGAGAGTGTATACATCTACGTCTTTGTGATCGATTCTGAGTCATGTCACCTAGAGTCTCCAATCATTCATTACGATAGTCACACGGACTTCAACCAAGTAGTCTGCATCTACCAGTATGGCTAAGACTAGAAGGTAGTAACTTAAAGTACTGATGCCACGTTTTGGTTTGGCCGCCCCTAACTTTCTTTCAACCATCCCCAACACTAGTCAGTATTGCGCGCCGTGGTAATCGGTGACCCAACCGTCTTAGTTGGTGAAGATTTACCATCATTCCTTGATACCCTGAGTTTAACTTCACTATTACTTACCAGATGATCCCATAACCGTAAATAGAAAAGCTATAACCAAACTTGAAACAGGCCGCAAACGCTTCTGTACCAAACTAAGTGAAAATATCAATGAAAGCTTTGCTGGCTTGAAATTATGGATTACATAAAATACAGCGTAAGTGGATATAAAAAATTATATGCCCTTCGATAAATAAAGTGATATTCTACTGCAGTATTTGAGAAAGCAATAACAAAAAATGTTACATATGGAAGGTATAATCAACATTAATCAACATAGGCAAAAACATACTTGAGAAAATAACTGACACAACGTAATAGGTACCATTGATTTTCGCGAAACATCTGTTTGAGAGTAAACAGTTCATAAATTATATTACGGACGGAAATTGAAAATAAAAAAAATTAAAATTCAACACCTGAAACATAAGTTATTACCTTTACGATAGGTAATAATAAATAATTCATATATCTGTTAAGCGACGACTTGAATTTTCACGATTGAAACGGTAAGATATTCACAGAATAGCAGCAGTGTTAACTAAAAACGAACTCAGGCTTAGAACTTCACATGTATCAGACAAGTAAACCTAGAATAACTGATAATAAGATAAAAAGAACTGATAGGCCTGATTTGTATGAGTATTCAATAATGAATAGATCATGTAGAATATAATACGTTTTTTCTGAAGTGTCATTCCGAAAATCAACTATTTGTTCCTGTGTACAAAGACGTCTAGACAAGGTTACAATGCACTAAAGGCAACAAGAACAAATTGTAACATCAGTATATAAAGCCACTACTACTGATAGACTTAAATAGATCACATTGCCATTAATCATCATTGGAGGAACTCACTTAAAGAATAACGCTTATTCTGGAGCACATATTTAGACTTAGATAACACTCAAGTTCAAACATGTATTGGTCTGCGTCTTACTAAATGAAGAAAAACCACAGCGAGAAAACAAATTATGGTACAATTTAAAATAAAAATTAAGAATATATCGCAGGAACAACTATAGAACGAGTTATCAACCATGAAGGTCATACCCGAAGTAGTTTGGCATGATATTCAAACAACTGTAGAAAAAGTAGTGGTATTACTTGTAACCTAATCGAAAAGGTTGGTAAAAATTAATGGATTTTCGTTTCGTCTACAGAACTCAACCCGTTTAGCATTGAAACAGACAAGGAGAGAAGCAGCTTAAACGTAGGATGATAAAAACTTCACGTAATACACGTGAGCAGAGGTGGGTGGCAATAACAGGAAAGAAAGAAATGGCAGCAGTGAAAGGTAGCAGTAGACAACAACTCAAGCTTATTAAGCAAACAGGTACAAAACTCCGCCAGCAAAACAGCTAGTCACAATGTAAAACCTGTATATATGTACATCAGTTCAAGTTGCCATACCCCATCAGCACAGAGAGATGAAGTTGTCAGGCCAAATCTCAGAGTTGTAGAGGTAGTAACAGTGTGAATGGTGACTGCAAAGAGTAGGTATCGAAAATACAGTTCAAGAAAACATAAATTAGTTTGATAACTACAGAAAAGAAAAATTATGAGGGATTCAGAAGCTCAGAATTTGGGGGAAGACAAAATGGCTCAGTTCAATCGTTGATGTCTTCATGAATTGGTGCCGTGTTTTCGGTTTGTCCGTCCCTAGCTTTCCTCCAGTGTACTCTCACACCGTACAAAATCACCCATTGAGGTAGGTTGTGGTTGTGCATACGTGACATGTCCCAACAAGTGAGTCTCCTGGTAGAAAATCAACTCCTGAAAAGTCAGACAATGAGAGTGCTGTCTCTAAAAGCATGCCTATAACTAATTTAAATACAAATGGAGAAAGCGCACAATCCTGACGACTGTCACTCAAAGTAATTAATTCCGATGACCGAAAACATTAGTTTTGCTCTCCAACTAATTCATTTTGAGCCACTCGATATAACACAACACGATATATTCCAAAGGCAAATGCCAGAACAAATATACAAGTCTATAAACACGATTATTCACGCGTGTTACGCAGAAAATTGGCAAATGGCGTCGTTTATTGGTGCTGACTAATTGAAAGTGGAATAGTCAGGATGTTTGATCATTTTTGCATCGAAATCGCAAGAAGAGTCCACACTTTTTACACAAATAGAAGTGATTAAGCATATGCAGTAAGATTGTGTTTATTATTTGATATAAATTTAAACCGGAAAAATTGATTTTTGGATTGCTGTCTCTTTTAGCATTAATTGTGTTTCTCAACATATAATCTATTATAGTTGACCCTTACATTGTAGGTTGCAGACTCAGATTAATTTGATTTTATTGGTTAGGTCAAATAATAGTTTAGACAATCAGCTATACTATGGAAAGAATTCTTCAGTCCATCACAACATTGGGCCATTGTTTTAATGTTCTTCTACATTTTAGCGAAAGCAAACAAAGAATTGTAAACAATTCGTTCGATTATTACAGAAACATAAGTAGTGTACGAATTGTATGTACTCGTTTTGCTTGTCTTCAATTTGTTTTTTATAAATTCGAATTAAAATGCAATATGTCCCGGGGGATTAAGAAGCAAACATAAATAAAAAAGACTCATTAGGATAACTTATCAAGTTGAAGATAAGAATCTTAGTCTACATCTTGCTGTTTATCATACTGAAGGCGCTAATGTTTTGAACGATAAAATGGTAGATCTGTACAGTATTACAAAAATGTCACTTCTAATTCTTTCTCATCTAATAATCTACTTTGCGTTGTCACTATACTATGGACTAATATCAGTTCATTTTCTATAGGTTTCCATACCAAATGACCATCCTTCTGAAATACCTTAAGGAACTATATGTATGGACGTTGAAGTGTTTATATAGATAGAAATCGTTATTTAGTAATCCTTAATTAATCAGTCACTGACTGACTGTTCAATAGATTTCGTAACCAGTAGTATTAGAAGTTGACGTTGCAGTCTCAGAGTAAAATCTATGGGATTGGAAATTTGTCTATTTCTGTAGCGTGCGGTTCACCAAATCAAAACATGGCATCAATCCATCAAGTCATCAATGATTAGATGTTAATAGATGCATAGACTATCTGGTTGGGATCCGCGTGATTATCGTAGCCAATGGTTGAATACTTTAGATAACATGACTCAAAAGCGTTCGCAATGGTACAGGTGCACGTGTTTTTTCTTTTCCCCCAAATTATGAGATTCTAAGTTCTTCATAACGTTTTTTTGTTTTTATTTTGCTAATTTATATCCTATTTTCGAGTCATAACTTAGATGCCTAATCTCTCTTATTACCTCTGATATTGTTACTAACTCTACTATTCTGACATTTGGCTTGACAACTTCATCACTCTATGCTAATGGGGTATGGCAACTTAAACTGATGTACATAAGTACGGATTGTACATTGTGACTGACTGACAGTTTGTCATCTCTGGGTCATTTATGATATCAATCTTGTTGTAAAACATCAGGTTTACAAAATGTCGGTGAGAGCAGCTGTGCTCTATGTCTATGAAAAACTGACTTATTAGAGCAGATATGTGGTGACTACATACATCTACTGGCAACACCAGCATGATAATGCTCAATTATACTATAACTTACGTAATAAAGAACAAATAATACACTGTATTCTCCCTTTTGTGTACGTTATACTCCAGTATCCCCATGAAATGACCTTTTTGTTTTAAGTAAAAATCAATGTACTCGTCACTATAAAAAATCGATTACGGTTACTGAAGGTTGTCCATAAACTTATCAAACAGATAACCTATCAAGGCTGATGAACCAAAGTGGCAGTGTTGAAAGATACTAGAAGAGTAATTATTATATGTCATTCAAGTAATTTGAAATAAACCATCCGCGCTAACTAACACTACTGCACTCGTTAAACCAAGGAAAACTTAAAAAATATAGTGGTTTACATGATCATTCAAATTGAAAAAGTGAAGTTCTTAACATTCAGAACCAGGAGTATAGTTAATCAAACAATACCCAAGATCCTAGCAAGCCAATGAATTTTGCCAATCCCAAGGAGCTCAGTAATTAATCAACATTTCCAGTGTTGCAAAGTGAATGTATTTAAATAACATAACCTACTAGAATTATGCAGACGAATCTGGCTAAACCCGTCACATGCATTAAAGTCGATAAAACAGACAATTGTGATAACCAAAGTCAGTCAGCGTAGAACAGCGTAGAACCAGACACATATATGCATCGGTTCAAGTTGCCACACCTCATTAGCACAACGAGATGAACACCGAATTCACAGAAATAGTTAATTTAATGGTGGTAATATATAAAAGAAAGATTGCATATAAGGATATAACACATGAAGAAAGAATTAGGCTGTATAAAGGAAAATATAAAGCAATTTTAATCTCATAGTTTAAGGGAAGACAGAGAGTGTACACTTCTACGTCATTGTGATCGATTCTGAGTCATGTCACCTAGAGTCTCCAATCATTCATTACGATAGTCACACGGACTTCAACCAAGTAGTCTGCATCTACCAGTATGGCTAAGACTAGAGGCTAGTAACTTAAAGTACTGATGTCACGTTTCGGTTTGGCCGCACCTAACTTCCTTCCAACCATCCCCAACACTAGTCAGCATTGCGCGCCGTGGTAATCGGTGACCCAACCATCTCAGTTGGTGAAGATTTACCATCATTCCCTGATACCCTGAGTCTAACCTCACTATTACTTACCCGATGATCCCAGAAGATATGAGAAATATTAATAAGGCATTTGTGGTCAAATACTAGTAGCTTACGAATATCTCTACTCTTAACGGCCACGTTTCGCAGCCGTAAAATTGAACAGAACGAACTGGCGCGCATTATACTCGTCCCTTAATTGATAGACGGATATCTCGCCTTCGTCAAACTACATACATGAATAAGAACTTAGTGCAGTTTTATTGCACGTGTCAGTGTGGAAGTGCTATTGGAAATGTAACCAGGGGTGATATCTTCAGGAACTGGAAACATCGACGTGCAGAAAAGATAAAGACCACCTGTGGATCAAATTAGAGTGTGTCGGTTATCCCCCTGAACCAGATGTATTAGAAATGATCAAAAGGGCTCCAAACGGAAATCAAATTAAATAACAAGTTTTTAATAATGAGATTTTCATGAAACACTTCTGTAGTACAATAAATATATAACTAAAATGATGAGAATGGCTCACTCTACAATAGTAATTAATAAATAACTGAAAACCAGTGTTGTAAACTATAGAAATAGTAAATTACTTACTCGTGTTTTCCCATATGTGTAGGAACAACTTTATCGGTTATTTTATAAAATTCGTTGTTTTTATATATGTTTTTTTCACCATTATAAAATGTGCCGTTACCCAATCGACTATGGCAAGTTCCGTTTCGCACTTCTCCCTATAAAATGCAATACTCTACAAAATCAAGATGCTATCTTTCCCGTAAAACATTCAAATAGCAACAAGTATCAACGCGCTAACCGTATGAGATGAATATATATATTGCCTGCACAATTTGACTCATTTTTACTGATATAATGAAACACAGCAGAAATGAATTAGATGCCGCAACGTAGTAGTGTGGGATGTGCTACTGATGCAGACAAGTAATTATCGTCATTTCATTTTATTTGTGTATAAGTATGTATCACCAATCAGAAGTGGAATGTCTGGCGGCAGGTTGAGAAAGCCGAAGAGAAGAGAACGATAACAGAGTTATTGGTGTGGAAACGAAGGAAAAATCAAGTCTGAGACGATTGACTGACATTTGGCAAATGAAGTATTTACTGTATAGTTCTCAGATCTTACTGGGATATTCTGTAATTTTGTGTTTAAATACGTTTGGTTGCCCCTACTGGTATTCTTGTTCACTACAATACTACCTTGACAATTTGTAACTGTTGAAACTCAGAGGGAATAGGTGACACTACAGGTGAGGAAGCCTTTCATCCAATGTAAGACTTCGGAAAAAATGTACCCAACGATATCCCAAGGAGACCCAAAGGAAAGAAATGAGAGTGTTCAAGCTAACTCTCGACCAAATCAATGCTGACGAAATCAGTATGAGATAGATTAACTAAAATGATAATATCTGGATGTGAGTTAAAATGCTCTTGTGGAACTAGTCAAATCAGGACTTATTATTTAGCATGTGTCAAGGTAGTTGGAAAGAGTAATTCGATGCTAAAATAAACTAACCTGTTTGCAGATAAAAAATACATTAGTCATTATTGAATTTGGTAGAAAGTATACTGTCGTAGTTAGCGCCATATCAACTGATTGATCTAAAGCTACATAATAACAAACAAATAAATACCATTTAGTTCTTCCACTAAAACCCTGGAAGTTAGAATTCCGTTTGATAACGAAAATATACACACTTGACGAATTTGTTTTTCATATGATACGTAAGATGCACTGAGGAGCATTAAATGGATCAAAGTATTCTTACATTATTTCAGGAACATTAGGAAACCAATCTAAATGTAACTGCCTATGTTCGTTTTTAAGACATCCAATAGCCATTTTGTAAACCTTCCGCACAGAATACCACATAACACTTGTCTGAAACAAAAATAATACATACATGGAGAAATCTACAAATTCTTTTCCAGAGCAGATTAAAGTAATTGACGTATTCACCCATCTAGCATAAGAGAGTTTACCAAGTTTAGCCTGCAAAAAGACTATTATTTAAATTAACGAAGATACTCAAATTACCGTCATTGTGACAGTGTCCACCGCACACATCGAAGACAAGGAAAAATGTGATTAAAATTAACGGAATAACTCCGATAGCAGCGAAGCACAGACGATTCGTCAACATTAACAAACCAAAGTTTTAAATCAGTGAAAATAGCAAATTAAAATAGTCTTGCAATCCGGACTTGTTCCCTCCAGGTACCAGCTTTGAAGACATCTAATACGAGAACCTGAAAGAGGGAAAATATGACTAGACAATGCAAGCAGCTACAGTGCACAGCAAGTGAACTGAAATTATACAAAAAACAGATGAGTGTAAGCTGCTACAAAGCATCAGACACGATAATTAGTTGATTGAACAGGCAAATCCTAATTTAACCTGCAGTAGTGTCAATGCTTATTACTAGGTTAAAAGTTCAGAAGCCGATAACAACTTGTAACAAACCAACGACTGCATACTGGTTATGTGGCGATGGGTATTATGTACGATTCTGTCCATTTAAGAAGCAACAAACGTGGACATAAAGAAGGTCATTGTCCACTGAATCGTAAGCCTCAGCCCAAGAAGAAGCGTAAACGTCCTCGACACACCAGATTCTACGAACCTGCTCAAAGGGGTGTTAGCAGGACATAGACTGGATTAAAGCATGCTTAATGCATGATTGCTTTGGTGCACGCTGATTGGATAAGAATTAGCCATGATTTAATCCAATCTATGTTCCGCTAACAGATGGTGTTGTGATTTAACCTGCCTATTGACATACAGGGTTTCACAAGCTTACCAATTACAGATCACTCTTCATCACTATTAATAAACTCATGAAGTATTCCCAACATTTCCTTACAATAAAGGGAAGTTGAACACTGGTTTTACGTTTGCATGCCACTGATATTTCCTAAATAAATATAGTAATCCAAAAGGCCGTAAACTTTGAACCCTCGTAAAACGTGAATCTTGAAACGCTAATTCATCATGTAAACATACCTAAAATTTACACGCGGATACAAAGAAACCAATGAGTTTATACTAATGGGAATTTTATTGGCTAGGAATATCGAATTGTCGGTTCTTTGAAACTAAGCTCAACAGTTTAAAGATCATAACCACAAAAACCTCGCACTTTGTAAGTGCATGTTCTTTTATGTTTAGTATCACGTCTTAAGTAGGCACCGAAAACAATCTTGGATAGTCCAAGATCTAGATCACATACGTTCTGGAAAAGCCCTGATAGCCCAAGTTTTATCAAGTCCATGCTGCCAATAAGCAGTAATTTTGAGAGGTTGAGACTTAAAATACTTCAGTCACCGTGTAATGAATAGGTCGAGGCAGTTGTCAGCGGACAGAGGTGTGTTTAGTTAAGAGTAACCATATTTGATTTCTTCAAATGGCAGCCTAATGATCTTATTATGAAAGTTAAGTACCGTTGAGGAATCCTGATCTATCGAATTCTGTGCCACCTGTGCCAATCAAAAGCCTGTTGTTATGTCACACACCTGATCAAACAAGCCATAAATTTATTCTATCTTAATGGTTTCAAGCGAACATCTACTGAGCAGTTCCTTGTGAAAATATTCATAAGTTCATAAATTCATGAAAGATGTGATTTTTTCAAGATGCACTTTTATTCTTAATAAGCTACCATGTACTAGACTTAAGGCAGGATGAAGACTCCAAGCACTGATGTCACGTTTTGGTTTGGCCGCCCCTAACTTTCTTCCAACCATCCCCTACACTAGTCAGCATTGCGCGTCGTGGTAATCGGTGTTCATGCATACGCAACACGTGGTCCAACCAACCCAGTCGATGAAGACTCACAACCTCATCAACTGACTTGCCATCATTCCCTGATACCCTGAGTCTAACCTCACGATTACTTACCCGATGATCCCAGAAGATATGAGAAATATTTATAAGGCATCTGTGGTCAAATACTAGTAGCTTACAAATATCTCTACTCTTAACGGCCACGTTTCGCAGCAGTAAAATAGGACAGAACGAACTGGCGCACATTATACTCGTCCACTAATTGATACACGGATATCTCGCCTTCGCCACAGGTGATATAAGTTGGAAAAAACCAAGCAAGCTTTTTGAATCCTTGCACCGATTTCGTCAGACACCAACCCGTTCGCGCTGATCAGACTTTCAAGATAACTGAAGTTGTCGATGCGTTCGAATACTTCACTCCCTATCCTTAGTTCGGATGTTGACGCAGACCAGTCCTGAAGCAGCAGCTTGCATTTAGAGGGAGAGAAGTGCATTCCAAACATTCTGGCATTGTTGCTCAGTGCTACCAAAAGACTGCATTTTATCAGCATCTTCACCAAACAGGACTATATCATCTGCGTATTCTAAGTCGATAAGTAGACTTCCTGGTAGGAGATAAATGCCCGAAAATTCAGTCGACGAGAACGTTACTTCCATCATTATGTTTATGATGAAGTTGAACAAAAATGAAAATAGTGGACAGTCCTGCTGGACATCAATTGATGTTGCGAAATCAGATGACAGTTCGCCATAAGCTCTCACTCGATTAGTAGTGTTCGAGTAAAGAGCCTTCACAAGGTTTATGTACTTCTGAGGTACGCCTTTCAATGACAGACACTGCCATAGAATCTCGGAGTCAAATAATGCTTTAAGGTCAAGAAAGACCACCATTGTCGGACGCCGAATAGCATGTCTGTGCTCTAGAACCTGTCGAATGGTGAATCTGTGGTTGATACAGCCACGACCAGGTCTCAGGTCAACCTGATTTTCTCATGGTTGCAGTTCACGAGTCTTAGTTGGGCGTCCGATAATTATTGAGGCTAGTATTTGAGATACTATATTAGTTAAACTAATCCCTCTATTGTTATCAGAGGATGAATTTGGCCCTTCCTTATATATTGGGACGATAAGTGATTGCGACCAGCCGGATGGGATAACGTCTAACTCCCAGATTTTAGCTAAAATATTAGTCAACCTAATCGCTAAGATCGGACCATCATCCTTAAAGACCTCTGGAGCCAATCCATCTGGACCAGATGCCCTTCCTCATTTCAAATTAGCTATAGAGTTTTCGGAGGACCTACTTCAATGGACGGCAGCACGAAGGAAAAGAAGTGAAAGGAGAAAAGCCATAAGCGGTAAACTACAAATGCCCCTTGGGGTGGGCCCGCTTTCCCTCTCTAAATACTTTCACACGGCCACGCATATACAGCCTCCGCCAAGGAAGTCCTACTCACTGCCTACTCATGACAGGGGTGTTGTTTACGAAAATGAGAGGACGAAAAGCGAATATCTGGCGCTTTAACCGGACCCTAAACCAATGGTGCACATGGGCTCCAGTATCCTGACGGAACAAATGGCATATGAACCAATTTCTTCGTCACCGGCTACCATGCTCCACTGCACCGTGAATTAGACTTTTAGGTCAAAGTCTCGGGGTGTGGCCCCCTAAGAAAGCCACCTGCTTCAGTCTGGGCACCCGGGCAGTATCACTACCCACACACAAATATGATGAAATGTCAATATTTATAGAAAATACTTGTTTTGCTTCGATTAACAATCAAGCGATTCACATTATTATTATTATTATTATTATTATTATTATTATTATTATTATTATTATTATTTACGTCATTTATACCCGACCGTTGTTGCTACCTTGACGTGGTGGTCGGGCTTGCTTATCGTGATGAAGCAACCGAGCTATACTAGCTGGAACAACTGTTCCTCAAGGTTCTACCACGTCAGAAAGGTCGGTTGAAGAGCGGTAAGACTGAAAGCAACAAACCCAAGGTCCGAAGGCGAAGTCGTACTGCTGACTGTACAGAGGTGTGACAGCATTAAGGTGTTTCCTTCAGACAACCAGCATGACAGCGATGCTGCCTTCCCACAAGGAGGGGTGGAGTTAGAAAAGGTCGACCCTAAAAATGCACACCTCGCCTTATCCCACGGCTATCCGTCTCCGGCGGTAAGGTCTCAACAAGTACGGAGCTAACACAAAAATTGCCCATAAAAAGGTCGTGTGTGACCGACCTCAAGCAGTTGTCCCTTGGGCACTGCGGTCACGCTCTCAGGTCACTAAGACCACCTCTGATCCAATTTCCTTTTCAGGTACCTCCAGAACAACCCTTCGACGGTGTGGGCAACCGGGAAGTGATAACCGCCCTCATACCTCTAACAGCACTCAAGACCACTGGATTCATAATCAACCTCCCTCTTCAATTCCTATTATTCCCCCCAAATTCCAGGTTTTAGCTAAAATATTAGTCAACCTAATAGCTAAAATTGGACCACCATCCTTAAAGACCTCTGGAGCCAATCCATCTGGACCAGCTGTTGTTCCTTGCTTCAGATTAGCCAACGATTCTAGTGCTCAAAACTCTGTCCCAAGTCTACTGAAACCTTGCTCTAAACTAAACATTAGAGCCTTCAACGTACGAACCCTATGTCAAATCGGTCAGCAAGCTTCCTTGGCTAAAACCCTAGAGTCTCTTACCATTGATGTATGCTGTCTCCGAAACACGCATACAGGATTCCAGTGTGGTCATTCACTTGACCTCACCTCGGCAAAACGGAGAGCCAACGAGATACACCCTACGTGTATCTGGTGACCCGATGGCCAGTTCTCGTGGACTGGCAGGTGTAGGCATAGCACTAAGCATGAGTGCAGAACAAGCACTGTTAGAGTGGATCCCCGTTAACAGTCGTCTATATGCTGTTCGACTAAACGGATACGTAAGAACTCGGAAGGATAGGGACACACGTCGTTGCCTTTTTGTCGTTTCTGCCTACGCTCCCAATGACTGCAGCTCAGATGAAGTGAAAGATGAATTTTACAGAAAGCCGTCCGAACTTCTTCAGAAAGCTAAACGCTCAGATATAGTACTCGTAGGGGGTGATTTTAATGCTCAGATAGGTAGTTTAAACCAAACAGAAAGGCATTTAGGGGGATATTTTAGTATTCTGACACAGCGAACAGATAATGGTGATTGTCTGCTGCAACCATGCTCAGACAATCGTTTATTTTTAGCAAACACAAATTTTAAGCATAAGGAAAGACATCGTCTAACATGGCGACCCCCTACACCAAACCAACGATGGACTCAAATAGACCATATTGCCATCAGTCATCGTTGGAGAGCGTCGGTGCAAGATTGTCGCTCATTCTGGAGTACCTGCTTGGACTCCGACCACGCCCGAATAAGGGCACGCATCTGCTTGCTCCTCACTGGACGCATAAAA